ATATCGGGACTGTCCCTATAAAATCAGGACATCTGATCCAGACATGAGACAGTATTGTGTAATGAAGTTAAGAAGAGTGGCTGACACTGTGCAGCTATAATGCTTGTGGCTTCTGTTCCATATTGAAGAGAAATCATTATGGACAGCACCAGTTCAGCGAGACCTGAGTTAAAGGTTTGCTTAGAGTTACTACAACCAGCCATTATTACTAGTCCAGTAAAACTGCTGGATGATCCCAAGTGCTATCTACCCATCTCTTTCTTTTGTGTCACATACAAGTTTATGGATGGGCTGATTTTGATGCATTTAAACAAGATTATTGAACCACAATTGCCTTTCTTTTAGGTTGGCTTCAGACACAGATGGTATATCCAAGATCAAGTCATTCATCTAACACAAGGCATCAAAGATGCCTTCAAGACAGATAAGTTGGCACTGTTCAGGTGGATCTGTCACCTGCATAAGATACTGTCTGGCACGTGGAGCTGACTGCCAAGTTGTTGCAGACTATTCCTTGTAAGCCCATGGTGCGGTTCATCATGAGTTTCATCTTGAAAGCTAGAGACAAAGTTTCAGATTCCTCAAAGACCCATTCTAGTGCCTCTCCTTTTCAACATATATAATTATAACCTACCAACAACTAAGGTCGATAAGTATGTACATGTGGATGACGTCTGTCTTAATGATGTGGGTAATGATCTACACGTTATCAGAGGATTACTCTGCCAGGACATAAATGCTCTGGCCACTTACCTTTGTCAGTAGAAACTTACATTAAGTGAGTTTAAGATGTTAGCTACAACCTTCCATCTGAACAGTCACCTGGGCCAATCAACCCCTTACAGTCTGTGTTGAGAATTGTCCACTTTCCTTCCAGCGAGTTGTCACTTATTTATCAAACTGGACCACAGTCTAACATACCATTCCCATCTAGAACTTAAGGAAATAGATCACCTTCTACAATGCCTTGATCCTCCAGAAGCTAGCAAGAAACTCCTGGGGGAGCAAAGGCAAATGTTTTATTATTCTGGTATTCAATCCAGCAAAATATTGTGCAGCAGTTTGGGGCAAAAGTCGGCATATGCATCTCATTGATTTGGAGCTGAATACAGCCAACCATACCATTAGTGGTTGCCTTAGACGCACATTCATAGGTGCCGACGCCATGGATGCTTTGGGGCTGGAGCACCCACAGGAAAAAAAATGGTGGGTGCTGAGCACCCACCTGCAGCCCCCCTATCAGAGCCTCCTCCTCCCTCCCAGTACCTTCCACCTGCTGGAGCTCCGCCAATCAGTGCCTCCCTCTCCCTCCCACTCCCAGTGCCTCTCATCCACTGCGGATCAGCTGTTCCGCAGCATGCAGGAGGCGCTGGGAGGGAGGAGGAGAAGCAAGGGTGGAGAGCACTCGGGGTGGGAGCAGAGCGGGGGCAGGAAGAGATGGGGCAGGGATGGGATCTTGGGGGAAGGAGTGGAGTGGGCAGAGCAGGGGTTGAGCACCCCCCAGCACAATAGAAAGTCAGCGCCTCTGCACACATTAATGTCTAATTTGTATGTCTTGGTTCATATAGCTCCCCCAAAACTTTGATGAGATGCTATTTCCCTTAAAACTGCATGGAGGGCTTTGATGGATAAAACAACCTGCTGCATAAAAGGCTGACAATGGTTCAAATAGGTGCTAATAAGCAACACATGCTTCCTATGAGATCTGCCTGCCTCCAGAAGAAAACACCTGCACCTAAAGTTCCTACTGACTTGCCATGACTGACTTCACAACATTCTTTTGTGGTGGCCATTCATGCACTTACGTCTAGTGCTGCCAAACCAGTGTCAATCTCAGATGACCAATGGCATATAAGAGCCGACAGCTATATCCTTGCAGAGTGGCAGCAATTGATGAACTTCGGAAGTCCTAACTTACATCCGTTTTCAACCTGGGACACAGACTCTGGACTAGACTTAATAGGCTACTGACTGGAACAGCCAGAGTGGCTGCCACAATGCAAAAAATTGATTTAGTCCAATCTCCACAGTAATTGTGGGGCAGCGATGCCGATGGTCCAACATATTGTGCACACCTCCACCACTAGAAGATTGGAGGGCAGGCTGTAACACTTTGCTACCCTCAGTGTTCAGCAATCTACCTGCTGCATCAATCTAGATATCAACTTGTGACACATAAGAAAAAAGATTACAACTAGTACCTAAAATGCCCGGAAATCAGGATGCCTATTTTGTACTCTGATGAAAAAGTGCTGCAAGCTCAAGGTTTATTCAGCAATGGTTTCTTGTCATTTTTTTCTTAGTGTGCATAGGAACTCAATAGTGTAAATACTATTGATGTTTGTGGCAAGAATTTTGGAGAAGTACATAACTATTCCTTGGAATATCTGTAGTTCCTATTTTATTTTGAGTTGCTTATCTTCATTTAGACTAATCCAGTTTAATAGGGTTTTTAACTAATATATTTCCAAATATTTTAGATTTAGTGCTGCTATAGGGTATTTTTCTCTTAATTTTTAATTTATTTGTTATAGTTAGAACTTTTCTTAGAATATCATGTTCCTCTCACGTTGTGTACTAAAACTGTAATGACCTTATGATCTTTGTTACTCTTTTTAGTAAATAAAATGGTCTATAAGATTTATATAGTTGGAAATGTTTCTTTGGCATACCCTTACATGTTGTGGAACACTATGTGCTTTAAGAGGCCATATTCAGATGATATTTGGTATATTTATTTATCCTATACGGGGAAGAGAAAGATTTGCTGTAAAGTCTGAATACTCTTGTGCTGTTATTGTAGACACTTATCACAATATTCTAGGCAAATTCAAAATTGCTTAATTCTATTCTTCCTACCTGTGACGGGGTATACCAGGAATCAGTAACCTTTGGCACGTGGCCCATCAGGCAAATCTGCTGGCAAGCCGGGATGGTTTGTTTACCTCCAGCACCCACAGGTTCGGCGATCGCACTGGCTGCAGTTCACCGTTCCAGGCCAATGGGAGCTGCAGGAAGCGGCGTGGGCCGAGGGATGTGCTGGGCGCCGCTTCCCGTTGCCCCCATTGGCTTGGAATGGTGAACCGTGGCCAGTGGGAGCTGCGATCGGCCGAACATGCAGACGCTGCAGGTAAACAAACCATCCCGGCCCACCAGCGGATTTCCCTGACGGGCCGCATGCCAAAGGTTGCCGATCCCTGGGATATACAAACCTCACACTGGAGAACGGGGCTAAGGAACAGCTCTGGGCCCAGGTGGTCCTGCCCAGACACACCTGCAAAACCTGCATAAGCTGGAGGCAGGGCTTTAAAAGGGAAGCAGAGCAGTTCAGAGGCAGAGCAGTGGAAGGGAGCAGATGGCTTCTCTGCTACTACCCAGGAGCTCATTGCTTGTTACCTGACAATACAGACTGTGCAAACCCACAAGGAAGAAACGGGACAGAGTGTGCAGGTCAGAGACTTTATTGGAATGGTTTACTCTGGGAAGCTCAAGGAGACGGGGGTAGGAAGTGGTCCGGGGAGAGGACAGCAGACTCTAAAGGGTCTACGAAAGGTATGAAAATAAAGTTTCAGATGCCAGAAAAGGCATTCCATTTTTCTGATCAATCAAAAGTATGTGAATACCCCCACCTACAGGTCAAAACCCGGAAGTTTTGTCATTACCATAGAAGCCCACCATTTAGTGCCCTTTTTCATGCTACTTCAAATGCCGACGCCATGCCGAGCACGTTCAACATTTATAGTTGAATTCTGTTCAGTCTGTTTTCAGTCTAAGACTTCTATGGTAGGAGTCTGCAGACCACAGGTTGAATTTCCAAAACGGTCTGCATCTCCATTTGAAATGTTTTAAGGGTCCATAAATGAAAAAAGGTTGAAAACCACTGGCATAGAATGATTAAGTCCTGAACATTATTGCCTTAGTGACAGCACTGTATTTCCACTGCAGAAAAAAATACTGTTTTTCTGTTGTTGTTACTACTGAATATTGGTGCTATAAAGTGTGGAAGTCTATTATTATTTTTCAGTGACATGTTGCATAGTAGAGATGTGAGAAACAAAGACAAGGTAGAAACTGAAAAAGGAACAGTTATAACATGGAGAGCCAAGAAAGAAGGTTTTGTCTGGGCAAGCCAAGAGGCAATTAAGTCTGTAGAACACAGGGACAGAATTGCCATGGATGAGGGAAAAGGGAAGTGTGGCCAGTGAAGCTGACAAAAAGGACTGAAGTAACTAAAAATTGCTGGAAGAAAGGATAAAAACAGATTTAATCTATAAAAAATAGCAATTACACACTATTTGATTTTAGCAGGCTTTTGTTCAATTCTTTTTAAAATTGTGCAAAAGAAATTGCTATCCAGTTTTAACTTTAATTCCCTGTGCAGAAAAAATAATCACAATTCATTACAGATGTGTACATATTTATCGAGAGGCAAAGGGTGGCTGAACTGACATGCAATTACAAGATAATGTTCAGTTGAAACTGTTCTACAAAAACATGCAGAAGTTACTTCTGGAGGAAAGTACAGCATACTGAGGAGAGATACTTGTGCAATAAATTCAAGAACAAAGAAAACATATGGGCAACCTGATTATCATCACAGGAATTGTTGGCAAACATATTTGCTGTAGAAAAGCACTGGTCTTTATATATGAATAAAAACGTTCTTGTATTTTATTGCACATTGAGAGGTAGTTACATAAGTTTTATTAAAATACCTTAGTATTTGCTGAAAGGTGGAAATGCTAGCTTTCAGGAAAAAAATCATTTACTAATCTTAACACCACCTTTTAATGAATGAGAAAACTGTAATCCATGAGAGATTTTTGCCAAAACAGGGGGCGGAAGGGTGGAATCTAAACCTTGATTGCTTCAGAGCAGGCTTAATTAGTAAATTTATCGGATTTGAATTAAAACAATAGGCTCATTTTATTCAAGTCTCATTCCAGACCACCACCCCTTTTCCTGCCTTAGGGGAGGGAGCCTTTAATAATGGTCTGTGTAAACTGATGCTCAGGCATTAGGAGATTGGAGAAGTGCTGCTTGCGCAAGTTAAAGCAGAAGAGAAACGGCAATCAAATAAAAAGCGGCTGCAGAAACAAAATAGAACTTTTACTGAATATAAGAAAAAAATGTCTCTTTTCACCAAAGTCTTGACCAGCAGTTGCAAACAGGCGCTTGAGCCTGAGAAAAGGAGTTGCTTTTTTCGTGTGATTTTTGTCAGCGGGTTTCACCAACTGACCAAACGTTCTAGCAGCCAGACTTTGGAGGTGCAAAATAACACTACAACAGCAGCTGCTGCAGCAGCAGAAGCAAAGGACAAAGAGGAGGAGATGGTGGCAGTTTCAGAGGGGGAAGAGGGACTCTTGAAACCCACTCAGCACCACCACTGCAACGTGAAGAGCCTGCAAGAAATGCCTGGACCCAAAACCCTCTCCAACCTAGTTGAGTTCTTCTGGAAGGACGGCTTTGGTCGCATTCATGAAATCCAGGTACAATTTAGTTAAAATAATCATGTTTTGATTTACTCTAGGATGTCAATTAAAAATAAAGTAGCTGCTTAATTAATGAGTTGATCCAGTTAATCCTGCTTGTCATTACAACGTCGTGTCGGTGCTGTTATGATAGAGTTGGGGGTTTCTTTACAGATCCCTGTTCTCCCCATTCAATCTTCATTTCATGAGTGTTTTAGTGTTTGGCGACTTAAACCCTTGCTTTCTTCTTTCTTTCCACCAGAGAACACTATTGAAAACGTGCTTTTCAGCCATAGACAACAGAGTCTGCAAAAAAATGCATTAGACTCTGCTTTAGTGAGAACAGATTTCTGGCTGATTCGTGTGTTTGTTTGTTTTTTCAAATCTCTCATCTAATTTTTAGGGCTTTCTCTGTCACCCACAAACCCAGCATGTCGTGGGACTTCCTTTGCATCTTCCTCCTCCTCCCTTTTGCGGGCGATATTTACCCGTCTTTTCAACCTTCGTTGTTTGGGGGTTTAGTTGGCACGACTGACTTGTTTAACATTACACGTAGAACTGAAGAAATCCAGCCATAACAATACATTGCAAGGGGGGGGGGGGCTTTTTTCCCCCTTTGAGGAACACGCGAGAGGATTTTTCCTCAGATTTTACCGAAAACCAGCCAACTCGCTTCATCTCCAGGACGAGCCAGGGTCAGCACCACAAGGCAGAATTTCTGTGACTTGCCATGAAAATTTGAATGGCAACCGCCCTGAGGCTTGGGGCAGCGGCCCCACTGTGCTGTGGGCGCGCACATGTCGCTGTGGGCAGAGTTTGGCCGTACAGTACATTGCGGGGGGGTTGTTCCCTCAGCTTTTTTCACCTACATCTCCCCCAGCGCTCATCAGTTCCTCAGAGAGACCATTTTGTCTCTTAACTATCCCTCACTGCCCCCCCCCCACCCCCCCATGCAGACCCTTCACGGGTCGGGCCCCTCAGGGGCCGGTTTATGTGCATATGTCCGCGCTGGCTGTGTATTGGCGTGAAGGCTGGCGGGGCTGCCGCTGCTGAGCTGTTTACACAGCCAGCCCCCTCAGCAGCAGGCGGGCCATTTGAAACCCTCCCTCCACCCCTTCTGAGGCGGGCGGGTGGAGGTGGCGGCGCGCGCCAAAGTTGGAGGGGGAATGGGGGTGGGGGGGACCAAGCCAACGGTCGCGGCTCCCCAACGTTCCAAAGGGGCTCGCGCTGCCCGAAGGGAGCCAATGGCGTGGCTCCCCCACGTCCCCGAGGCAGCTGCCCTCCCTCCTGCGTCCCCTGTTGGCAGACAGCGGGGAACGGACCCCACGTGTGGGATGGGGTGGTTGTGTAGAGGGGAGGGGCTGCCCAGGGGATTCAGGGGGCCTGGGGCAAAGCAATTTTGGGGGCCCCTTCCATAAAAAAAAGTCGCAATACTATAGAATACTATATTCTCGTGTGGGGCCCAGGCCTGGGGCGAATTGCCCCACTTGCCCCTCCCCTGGGCGGCCCTGGGCTGGACTAGGGTTACCATACATCCGGATTTTCCCGGACATGTCCGGCTTTTTGGTTCTCAAATCCCCGTCCGGGAGGAATTTCCAAAAAGCCGACCATGTCCGGGAAAATAGGGAGGCATGGTAAGGGGACCCCGAGTGCGAATGGCTGCAGCAAAACTTACAACTCTCGCGATCTGCCGGGGCACAGAGGCGGCGGGCGGCATCCGAGCACGCCGCCGCCTCCTCCCTGGGCTCCAACTTTCCCGGCTCCCACCACTCTCCACCGCACGCCGGGGCCGAAGCAACTTCCCCAGCGCAACAACAGCCGGAGTCCGGGGGGCGGGAGGGAGGAGGGGGAATGCGGGGTGCTCAGGGGAGGGGGCGGAGTTTGGGAGGGGACTTTGGGAAAGGGGTTTGAATGGGGGCGGGGAAGGGGCAGAGGTGGGGCCGGGGCCCCCGTGGAGTGTCCTCTTTTTTCAGTGTTGAAATATGGTAACCCTAGGCTGGACCCCTTCTAGTCGCCGGGGAGGAGGCTTCCTTGTAGTGGGCAAGAAGTAAGAGCGATGCCAGCAGATCAGATCAAGGGAAGTGATTATTCCCCTCTGTTCGGCACTAGTGAGGCCACACCTGGAGTATTGTGTCCAGTTTTGGTCCCCCCACTACAGAAGGGATGGGAACAAATTGGAGAGAGCCCATCGGAGGGCAGTGAAAATGATTAGGGGGCTGGGGCACGTGACTTACGAGGAGAGGCTGAGGGAACTGGGGTTATTTAGTCTGCAGAAGAGAAGAGTGAAGGGAGATTTGATAGCAGGCTTCACCTACCTGAAGGGGGGTTCCAACGAGGATGGAGCTCGGCTGTTCTCAGTGGTGGCAGATGACAGAACAAGGAGCAATGGTCTCAAGTTGCAATGGGGGAGGTCTAGGTTGGATATTAGGAAAAAACTATTTCACTAGGAGGGTGGTGAAGCACTGGAATGGGTTACCTAGGGAGGTGGTGAAAACTTCTTCCTTTGAGGTTTTTAAGGTCAGGCTTGACAAAGCCCTGGCTGGGATGATTTAGTTGGTGTTGGCCCTGCTTTGAGCAGGGGGTTGGACTAGATGACCTCCTGAGGTCTCTTCCAACCCTAATATTCTATGATTCTTCTAAGAAGAGAGGGGGGAACGAGTGACTGCAGGCTTGGGGGCCCCTTGGCCACAGCTTGGCTGTGTGCTCACTCATGTTGCACACACTGTTGGATGCACACTAAAGCCCCACCCCCAGACGTGATAAACCACTCTGAGGTGGGCCAAGCGGTGACACAGGTTAGGGCAGCTGAGGTACCACATGCTGATGCCAGATACTTAATTTGGGTGGGAGAGGACCAGTGTCTGGAGTGGGTGGCTAAAGGGAAGTCCCAGGGCTCCTACAATCTGGCCTGTGGAACGAGCAGCCTAGACAATGGGTCATCATCTTGGTCTGTCTGGGTCAGAGAGCAAAGATGGAATGCCTTGTGGGTTGGGACCTGTCATCTCCATGCCCTGCACCTTCGTGTTTGATAGGCCCCAGCCTGCAACATGCCACTTTGCACAATTCCCAGGAGCAACAGGAGAGACATGCGATAATTAGAGCATGCTGCTGACATAGCCTCTGGAATGTGTTTTAGAAGAACTCCCTCTTTTCAATCTTTGTTTTTTAAGCAGCCACTCTTTCCTATGCTGGGGCTCCCTTCCCTCCCATCTGCATCTTCCTCGGACAAGTGGATTTAGGGTGAGCACCTGCATTTCAAGAAAATAAAGAACTGTATGAAAAATACAAGCTTGTGTTTCTTTTTCAGGGACAGGACCTAATGGGTTTTCATGCCTGATACAAAATCAGACATTTGTAACACAGTATTGATCCTTTAGAATAATTATTGCTAGAAAAAATACTGTCTGATCAAATGTTTCTTTTTGTTAGATAACATTTGACTTTAGGCATCACATAAGGATGGTCCATTACAATACACTACAGCAGACGTCAGCAACCTTTCAGAAGTGGTGTGCTGAGTCTTAATTTATTCACTCTAATTTAAGGTTTCGCGTGCCAGTAATACATTTTAATGTTTTTAGAAGGTCTCTTTCTATAAGTCTACAATATATAACTAAACTATTGTTGTATGTAAAGTAAATAAGGTTTTTAAAATGTTTAAGAAGCTTCATTTAAAATTAAATTAAAATGCAGAGCCTCCCCGGACCGGTGGCCAGGACCCGGGCAGTGTGAGTGCCACTGAAAATCAGCTTGCGTGCCGCCTTCGGCATGCGTGCCATAGGTTGCCTACCCCTGCACTACAGGGTGGGATGTCACTGTAGATAGGTTTGAATTTTCCCGCAGTAGTTACACCCACCATAGGAATCCCTGCTGCCTAAAATAACTTAACCTCAGGCTTTTGACCAGAGGATAGCTTTCCATCTGAATTCTGGGCTCTCCAGTGGTGTCTCCAGCTTTGCTAGGTCAGCATTCACAATTTTGTTTCTCTCTTGCTCACTCTTAATTGCTGGCTAGGTGAGAGACCAGCCGTTGAAACTTCCTCTCTTTCTTCCTTGGTTGATCCCTTGTCACACTCTCTTTGGTTTCTCCATCTGCTCTTGCTACATGAGGAAAGAGGCCGTGTGGGGACTGTGGTGAGGTACAATATCGAGAAGGGAGAAAAGGTGTGCAGCATCAAGCAGTGGTGGAAAAAACAGTCATATAAGTCCCCTCCATCCCTTGTTGGAGTCAAGCCGGTGGGGAGCAGGAGAGCTGAAAGGGGCAAAATCCAGTGGGTCATGAGACAGTCAGAGGAAAGTTGTGGAGTTGTTAGACATTGAGGGAAGGGGAACAGAAAGGGATGGGGCAGAAAGAAGGGAAAAACTTGAATTGGGAAACGTTAGAGGAAGAGAGGAGCTCTTGGAGGAAGAAGAGGGAACAGACACTTAAACCACTGCAGTAGGGAAGGGACTTGTGTGCCCTCTGAAGACACCACCCCTGAAGAAGGCAAAATTAAAAGCATACACTTCATTTTCTATCAAATTTGATTACCGGCTTTACAGTAGCCCAGGGTTAAGCAGGTCTGCTTCCCCTTCCTCTCCAGAAGAATGCAAAGACTGCAACTGTGGCTGCACTGGGGATATAAGGATGGGGAGTGACCAAACTCCTTGCGTTATAGGTGGAGGGATCAGATGCACTCTAGCCCGTAAGGCCTTGTCTAAACTTAAAAGTTTTGCTTCCTTAACTATGCTGGCATAGTTCAATTCAAGCAGCAGAAACCCTGTTATGTAGATGAAGTTGTACCAGAGTAAAAGTGCTTATACCAGTATAGCTTATTCCAGTTCGGTGGACAAAGTATACTAGACTAGCATAAGGGCTCTATACCACTATGGCTGCATCTATGCTAGGGCTTAACTGTTGGTAAAAAATCACACCCGTTAACAACATAAGTTGTGCCGTAAGTTAAAGCTTTTTAAGTGTAGACCAGGTCTAAGAAGCAGCAGCAGAGGTGTGATCTTGGGAATGGAAAAGGAGCAGAGAAGATAAAAAAGGAAGAGAGGGGAGAGGAAGGGGCAACTGCTGAGAAAACACAAGGTATCAGGATAGAAACTTGAAAGATGGAAGGAAACAAAAATCAGGATGGAGAAGAGGGACTAAAAATTCCCAGAAAGGGAAAGGAAAGGGAAAAAGGGAAAATTCAAACAGGTTGCTGTATTTTAGAGTAAAGATTATATGTTTCTTTCCGTTCAGATTTTAAAAAATAGAGTAGAGTTAGACTCCTAAATCTTTAGTGAGGTCAATGGCAGCTGAACTTTAGTCTTCTATTTTTGAATTTCTTGGCCTAACTGGATTGGTAGCCATTTAAAACAACTGACACCCCCACCCCCCAAAAAGAAACAAAGCAAAAAATAATCTCTGTGTGTGTGTGTGTGTGTGTGTGTGTGTGTGTGTACAAGACAGACATCTGAGCCACATACAAAAATTAAATTACAACAGGGTTATACCTACTCTGCAATATATTGCTTTCTTTCATTTTAACAACTAAAATATTTGTTAGTGCTATGAAAATTTTTGAAAATAACAACAATCAAAGAAACTAGAGGTGGAAAAAGCCTAAGTAATACATGCCTATATGCTTCTCCACTTTTCACAACCACTAAATAATACAGGATTTTCTCCTTAATCCAGTCCAATTTGTGGAAGGAAAAACTGCAAAAAAAAGGTGTGGGGCAGTATATTTTATGTATTTTTTATTCAGTTTAGAGTCTCACAAAACATTTTACTTTACAAATCATGATGGCCTGTTTGCATATACTCTGTAACTGGATTAATAACACCCTGTTAAATTTAACAACAGAGTGAACATCAGGAATGAATTAATCTGAAACCTCTTGGTAACCATTGCAGCTACTTAAATTATGTTCTTTGAGACACAGAAATGTTCCATATGCAGAACATATGGTGGGGGGATTTAAGCATTTTTTTACAATGAAGGTTCTGTTCTCAGTAACCTGATTCCAGAATTTAATTGGCCAGAGCAGCAGTGCCTACAGCAACTCTGGGTAAAGGAAAAGAGTTTTGAGTTCAGTGGAGTTGGAGCTGTTGTGTTCCATCCTAGGTTCAGAGAGAAGGAAAACAAAGGTATGGGGGAAGGGTTTGGTCTCTGACAATTCAAATGTTGTGTGTGAAGTACAGCATGACATGAGGGAGTAGGGAGACAAGGTAGGATATTTTTAATAATTGTAACAAGAAACAAAAATGGAATTAATGGGTTTGTGACATAAAATATCAAACAGACCTTTCAGCCATATCTGCAATATACCTATGATGCACAAAACACCATTTTGTTTATTATTTTATTATTATTTTTTACAAGTAATGTCCCCAGATGAGCTAGAGGCTGTACAGTCACAATGGAAGGCAATATTCCTGCCCTGAAGAGTTATCTTCTATTTCTATTATTTGTGGAAAGAACACATATTTCATTAGATTTCACTCCTCAAAATTTAGTCCAAATTTGTCTTTATTGAATTCTAGCATATAAATCTCACCATAAAGAGTATAACTGAATGTACATATGTTATAAGAACGTAGTACAATATGTTAAAGAATGATTAATTCTGTCCAAGGTTATTACAGGCAATTGAACATCTCATCTGTACAATAGTGGAAGATTAAGGAATACTACTCAAATTAAATTTGCTCTCTTGATGGTGGATTTTTTCCAGTCCTGATTCTCTGATTGTAAATTTTCTTAACATAAGAACGGCCATACTGGGTCAGACCAAAGGTCCATCTAGCCACGTATCCTGTCTTCCGACAGTGGCCAATGCCAGATGCCCCAGAAGGAATGAACAGAACAGGTAATCATCAAGTGATCCATCCCCTGTTGCCCATTCCAAGCTTCTGGCAAACAGAGGCTAGGGACACCATCCCTGCCCATCCTGGCTAATAGCCATTGGTGGACCTATCCCCCATGAATTTATCTAGTTCTTTTTTGAACCCTGTTATAGTCTTGGCCTTCACAACATCCTCTGGCAAGGAGTTCCACAGGTTGACTGTACATTGTGTGGAAAAAATACTTCCTTTTGTTTGTTTTAAACCTGCTGCCTATTAATTTCATTTGGTGGCCCCTAGTTTTTGTGTTATGAGAAGGAGTACATAACACTTCCTTATTTATTTTCTCCACACCAATCATGATTTTATAGACCTCTATCATATCCCTCCTTAGGCATCTCTTTTCCAAGCTGAAAAGTCCCAGTCTTATTCATCTCTCCTCATACAGCAGCCTTTCCATACTCCTAATCATTTTTGTTGCCCTTTTCTGAACCTTTTCCAAGTCCAATATATCTTTTTTGAGATGGGGCGACCACATCTGCATGCAGTATTCAAGGTGTGGGCATACCATGGACATATATAGAGGCAATATGATATTTTCTGTCTTATCATCTATCCCTTTCTTAATGATTCCCAACATTCTGTTCACCTTTTTGACTGCCGTTGCACATGGAGTGGAAGTTTTCAGAGCACTATCCACAGTGATTCCAAGATCTCTTTCTTGAGTGGTAACAGCTAATTTAGACCCCATCATTTTATATGTATAGTTGGGATTATGTTTTCTAGTGTGCATTACTTTGCATTTATCAACATTGAATTTCATCTGCTATTTTGTTGCCCAGTCACTTGGTTTTGAGAGATCCTTTTGTAGCTCTTCGCAGTTTGCTTGGGACTTAACTATCTTGAATAGTTTTGTATCATCTGCAAATTTTGCCACCACACTGTTTACCCCATTTTCCAGATCATTTATGAATATGTTGAATAGGACTGGGCCCATTACAGAACCCTGGGGGACACCACTATTTACCTCTCTCCATTCTGAAAACTGACCATTTATTCCTACCCTTTGTTTCCTATCTTTTAACCCGTTACCGAGAGAACCTTCCCTCTTATCCCATGACTGCTTACTTTGCTTAAGAGCCTTTGGTGAGGGTCCTTGTCAAAAGCTTTCTGAAAATCTAAATACACTATATCCACGGGATCCTCCTTGTCAACATACTTGTTGACCCCCTCAAAGAATTCTAGTAGATCGGTGAGACATAATTTCCCTTTACAAAAACCATGTTGACTATTCCCCAACAAATGATGTTAATCTATGTGTCTGACAATTTTGTTCTTTACTATAGTTTCAACCAGTTTGCCTGGTACTGAAGTCAGGCTTACTGGTTTGTAATTGCCGGGGTCTCCTCTGGAGCCCTTTTTTAAAATTGGCATCACATTAGCTATCCTCCTGTCATTTGGTACAGAAGCTTATTTAAATGATAGGTTACAGATGACAGTTAGTAGTCCTACAATTTCACATTTGAGTTCCTTCAGAACTCTTGGTTCTTCTACACCACCTCTCCTGCTAATGGATTTTTATTATCTATATCTACTACACCTCTACCTCGATATAACGCTGTCCTCGGGAGCCAAAAAATCTTACCGCATTATAGGTGAAACCGTATTATATTGAACTTGCTTTGATCCACCGGAGTGCGCAGCCCCGCCCCCCGGAGCACTGCTTTACCACGTTATATCTAAATTCGTGTTATATCGGGTGGCGTTATATTGAGGTAACGGTGTATCTCCTAAAGTGGTTTTGTAGCTTCACCTCGGCCTACATTTAGTTCCTAATCTCTCCTCAGATATATTCAAAATTAATTCCTGAGAGATGGGTGCTTCATTTCAAGACCATCTCTGAGTGAAATTTGTTAATCTTTTCCTATTTGTTGGGAAAGATAGAGCATCGCTCTGTAAAATAATCTCCTAGGAAATCTTTTTGGTATTTTTTTTTTATTGTTGAATGTTTCTCAATTCCTCTTTCTTAATTGCCTGCTCTTTGCCTCCAGCTAGTATTCATGGATCACTCAGCAGAGATATCTTACTAGATAAGTAGAACATCCTCCACCTCTTCTTTTCCACCACCTGACAGTGTATGTCTTTTTTGAGATGTTTGTCATAATAAATCTACTCTAAAATTTGGAGATTTCAATGCAGTGCTGTTGTGCTGGCAGCCCTAATGATAATGCCGTTAAGTAGATAGCTCAGTGGTTTGAGCATTGGCCTGCTAAACCCAGGGGTTGTGAGTTCAATCCTTGAGGGGGCCACTTAGGGATCTGGGCAAAAATCAGTACTTGGTCCTGCTAGTGAAGGCAGGGGGCTGGATTCAATGACCTTTCAGGGTCCCTTCCAGCTCTATGAGATAGGTATATCTCCATATATTTAAAGAATAAGGAACGCACTAATTGGTTCATTTATTGGAGAGGGACAAGTGAGCCTTTTTACAACAACAAAGTACAAATTTACTTCATGATTATGCTTCTGACCTCCCTTTACTTCCATCCTTTGTTTTGATCTTTTCAGGGCTGATCTTTTATATGAGACCAATATTTTTATAATGGAGCACTGCACAACAGGTTGATATGGGGAAGAAACAGTTGTGTCACTCTTTTGGACATGAGCTTCACATTTCCCTACTCCACAAGTCCTTTCACATCTTCAATATTCAGTGTAGCTAGCCCTTTGTGACACGTGGAGGTCTGGGGTCTTTCCAGCCTCAAAGATCCTGCATAGCAGTGGCCTCCCCTTCTGGTCATAGTGAGTATTTCAAGAGTGATGATGTTTTCTAGTGACACTTCCAGCTATTGCTTGATTGAAGAGCTTAGGACCTAGATCTGGATCCAACGCATGACTACTCACTGTTCTGCCACTAGATCATCAGGCTGGTCTTCAACTCCTGTCTTTCAAGTAATGAAATATCTTTGAAGATGGCTGATATTCAGAAGCATGGTTTGCTCCTGAAAAACTTATTCTGTTTCTAAAGTGCTACCGTTGCACACTCTCCCCTCAGTAGACTAGGTGGCATTTTATGTCAGTGCAAATTGATATGTTCTATAACAAAAGTATCTGTTTCCTTTGCCTTTTTTTTTTTCCATAACGTTTTTCTTCTCTGATTTGTTGTTGATGTTGCAGCAAAAACACACTCAGGAGTATGGAAAGATCTTCAAGTCTCACTTTGGTCCACAGTTTGTAGTGTCCATTGCAGATCGAGACATGGTTGCCCAGGTGCTCCGGGCGGAAGGTAGAACTCCACAAAGAGCTAACATGGAATCCTGGCAAGAGTACAGAGATTTAAGAGGGAGAGCTACAGGACTTATTTCTGCGTAAGTATAGTCACTTTTTTCCCTTCTTAATTTGTATTATCAAAGCATGTTAATCTTCTGAAGTACCATATAAATCAGCCTGGTGTTTTTTTCATTTAGCATATGATTGGTTCAAGAAGAGTTATCTGCCTCCGAAAGCTTGCATGTAACATGATTGTGTGTGTGGGTGGGTGTATGAGGGTAATTGTCCTTGTGAAGCATTCACAGTAATCAATGATGTAATGTGTTTATGTAAAAGGGAACCAATCTTTTTGTGAGTCATGGCCATTCTCTTACTTTGATGAGATAAAATTGCAGTAGCAAAAGGCTTTATATAGTGAAAGCCTCATAATGCATTTAACATTCACATTACACCAAAATCTCAAGGTTAAAATATAGGCCAGAGTCAAAATAATGGCTCCTTGTTGATATATAAGAATTGGAAAAGGTACAGAGAAGGGCAACAGAAATGACTGGTGTATAGAACAGCTTCCATATGAGGAGAGATTTAAAAAGACTGGGATTGTTCAGCTTAGAAAAGAGCTGAATAAGGGCTGGGGGTGTGTGATACAGGTCTATAAAATCATGAACGATGTGGAGAAACTGAATAGGGATTGTTTTTTACCCCTTCATGTAACACAAGAACGGGAGTCACGCAATGAAATTAATAGGCAGTAAGTTGAAAACAAAAGGAAGTACTTCTTCACGTAATGTACAGTCAACCTGCAGAATTCGTTGCCAGGGGATGTTGTGAAGTCTAAAAGTATAACTCTGTTCCATAAAGAATTAGATAAGATCATGAAGGTAGGTCCATCAAAGGCTATTACCCAAGATGGTCAGGGACACAGCCCCATGCTCCAGTTGTTCCTAAACCTCTGCCAGAAGCTGAGACTGGATGTCAGGGGTTGGATCACTCAATAATTGTTCTGTTCATTCCCTCTGAAGCATTTGACACTGGCCACTGTTAGAAGACATGATACTGGGCTAGATGGGCCATTGGTCTGACCCAGCATGTCAATTCTTATGTTCTTATTTTGTTTTGCTGAATAGTGGGCCCATAATGTAAGATTTGGAAGGTGCCACTTATTATTATTATTTATTATTTATTTGCATTATCATAGCACGTCAGAGTCCCAGTCATGGACCAGGACCCCATTGTGCTAGGCGCTGTGCAAACACAGAACAAAAAGACAGTCCCTACCCCCAAAAGAACTGAGATAGAGACAAGAGATAGATACAGACAAATGAAGGAGTACAAGGAAACAATGAGACAGTATGGTCAGCATGGTAAGTAGGCTGTGGTCTCAGCACACCAGCAGCCTAACTGTTGTAAATGTTTTTGTAGACCTTACAGGAAAGGAGGGTTTGAAAGGAGGATAATGAATTAGTTTTGTAGATGTCTATAGGAAGCTTGTTCCAGGCATGAGGGGCAGCATGGGAGGCAGCATGAAGAATAAAAATTTAACAAATAGGCAACAGAAGCGGACGTCAATGGCCAGTTGGAGAGGGGAGTCAACCTTTCAATGCTGAATGATAGATGATAGGTAGGATGACGATAGGTCATGAAGGGCCTCGAAAGTGAAGACAAACAGCTAATGTTTGATATGATAAAGAAGAGGGAGCCAGTGAAGGGCTTTCCAGAGAGGGATGACACAGTCAAAGCAACAGGCTTGGAAAATGATCTTTGCAGAATTCTGAATGAATATAAAGGGGGCAAAATTGCATATATCAGGGCCAGAAAAAACAATATTACAGTAATGGAGATGAGAGTTGGGACAAGAGTCTTAGCTGTGTGGATGGATAGGAGGGCTGTATTTTAGAGATGTTATGCAGAAAGAATTTGCAAGACTTAGACATAACCTGAATGTGAGGGACCTAGAAAGAGGTCCGAATTGAAGATGATACCCAGGTTATGGGCCAGAGTGACAGATAGAATGGTGGTGTTAGTCCACTGTGATCGAGAAAGGAGGTAGTGTGGGAAGGGTTTTTGGGGGAAGATTAGGAGCTTTGTTTTAGCCATGTTGAATTTGAGCTGACAGCTAGACATCCAAAACATAGTCATCTGTATCAAAGGCAGCTGACAAGTCATGGAGAATGAGGATGGAGTACTAATTCTGAGATCTGGCTAAAAAAAAGAGATCATTAGAGACTTTGGTGAGAGCGGTTTGAGTTGAGTGTAGCGGGTGGAAGCTAGACTAAAGAGGGTCTAGGATGGAATTGGAGAAGAGGAACTCCAGACAACAATTGTAGATAGTGTGTTCAGTGAGTCTGGAGATGAAATGGAGAAGGGAGATGGGGCAGTAGTTGCAGAGGCAAGTGGGGTCACAAGTGGTTTTTTTTTTTTTTTTAAGATATGAGAGACTAAAATATGTTTGTATTGTGAAGGCAAAGAGATGGAGGATAGTGAGCAGTTAAGGAGATGAGTCAGGTAGGGGATGAAAGTGGGCACAAGGGAGATCAGGAGATGGGATAGGATGATGTCACTGGGGCAAGTGGAGGGATTGGAGGAGGAGATCAGAGAAGGATTTGTGCATCTGTGACGAGAGAGAAGGAGGAGATTTGTAGGAGGGGGAAGGGAAGGCAAGCTGAGGAGTCGGGGAAAGTCACATAATATTTTATCATTTTTTTCCTGATAGAAATCAGCAAGATATTCTGCAGAGAGAGAAGTGGAGGCAGGAAGATGAGAGAGTTTGAGGAATGAGTAAAGGTGGTGAAAAGACAACTGGGATTGTGGGATTCAATGGGAAAGGGGGGCAAAAGAATCAACGGTGGAGGAGAGAGAGGAATGGAGTGAATCAACAACCATATCAATGGAGGAAAGGGAAGAAAGAGCAGATGAGAAGTCATGGAAAGGCCAAATGACAGGGCATGAGAGAGGGGGCTGATGGGCAATGTTGAACGAGACTAGATAATGGTTGAAGAGGGGGAACTCAGCAACAGAGAGATCAAAAAGAGAGCAGTGCTTGGGTAAGACCAAGTCAAATGAATGGCTCTTTTTGTGAGTGGGATAGTTGAACCAGGGCTGCAGGTTGAATGAAGACATGAGGGTGAGGAAACATGCATCTACGGGGGTTGGATGGGTTATGGTGGATTGTGAGGAGAGGACGAGAGAGAGCCAGGAATCATAGCTGGAGAAGAAGGCAGATGGGGAGGAGTTGGGTGGATGGTAGACGATAGCAACATGGACAGGAAAAGGAGAGAAGAGTTGGATGCAGTGCTCTTCAAAAGAGAAGAAAGGGTGGGAAGGGGGAAGAGGGAGGGTTTGGAAGCAGCAGGAATGGGAGAGAAGCCCAACAACTCCATTGTGATCTGATCCAGGGCAGGAGGTGTGAGAGGAGAGGCCTCCATAAGAAAGGGCAAGTTTCAGAGGCCATGCCAAACGAAGGGATCCAGGTCTCTGAGAGCCAGGAGCTGGAGGGAGCAAGATATGAAGAGGTCATGGATGACTGAGACCTTTCTAGAGATGGAGTGGGTGTTCCAGAGACAGCAAGAGAAGAGTAGGCGATGGGAGGAATGAAATTCCTCTCTGGTCCAGTAACTTTCTGTAACCTACTGCAGCATCATTCCAAGTGGAAGACTTTCAGGGGGAGTGCTTATGCAAATAACAATTTAAAAATGTTTGAAAGACTGTTGATTTGTCTGCTTAAATAACTGTAAGAGAGACAAGATAGGTGAGGTAATATCTTTAGATATTAGACCAGCTTCTGTTGGTGAAAGAGACAAGCTTCCCAGTTTACTCAGAGCTCTTCTTCAGATCTGGGGAAGGTACTCAGAGTGTCACAACACTAAATACAAGGATGGAACAGATAAGGAGTCAACTCATGTTGCAAGAGACCATTCAAGGTGAAGTGGGCAGTTAACATTTCTACAATCCTAGGCAAAAGGTGTGTTAGTGGTTTACAGATTGTTGTAATGAGCTGTAAATCCAATATCTTTATTAAGTCTATGATTTTTGGTGTCTAGTGGAGTTGTGAATTTAAGTTCCAGGCTCATCTTTTAAAGTTGTTGTGCAGGTTTCCTTTGAGGATGAGGACTGAGAGGTCAGATACACAGTAACCGTTTTGTGAAAATTGTTTGCCCACAGGTGATATGGTGTATATGTCTTTTATCATTTTTTTGTGTGAGTTCATTTGAGTGTAGTGATTGTCTTGTTTCACCCATATTGTTTTTAGGGGCATTTAGTGCACATTTTGTGATGCGCATGTGTAGGGCCTATGGATCTTGAAAGGTGTGTTTGTTGGGGGGATATTGATGATCTGAGCAGTGTAGATATGTTTTCAGGTTTGGCATCTGTTGTTATGGCAGCAACTAGTGCTGCTTTAAGTTGGTGCGTATGTGTTAATTCCTTATCTGATCCACCTTGTACTTATCTTTGACACTCTTGAGTACCTTTCCCAGACTCGAAGAAGAGCTCTGTGTAAATGCAAAAGCTTGTCTTTTTCACCAACAGAAGTTGGTCCAATAAAAGATATTACCTCACTCTCCTTGTCTCTCTAATATCCTGGGACTAACATGGCTGCAACAACACTCAGGAGCGGATTTACCATGATACAAAATGTGCAGTGGCACGGGGCCCCCAACGACACAGGGGGGCCCCAAAATGCAGGACAAATATCTGACAACCTGTCCCTGAGTCCCAGCCGGCAGCGCAACAGGGCTCAGGCAGGCAGGCTGCCTGCATGCCATGGCCGGTGGCCTCCGCCGCTCCCGGAAGCGGCCGGCCGCTGGCATGTCTCTGTGCAGCCCTGGCGGGGGGGGGTGGGGAGTGGCTCCGCGCGCTGCCCCTACCCCAGAGTCGTGCCAGCAGCAGGGCTAAGGCAGCTCCCTGCCCGCTCTTCCTCCCTCCCTCCACACTGCTTCGCTCCTGAAAGTGGCTGGCATGTTCCTGCGGCCCCTGGGGGGGTGGGGGTGGGAGGGGTGTCTCCACGCGCTGCCCCCACCCCAAGTGCCAACTCTGCAGCTCCTATTTGCTGGGAACTGCAGCCAATGGGAGCTGTGGGGGTGGTGCCTGCGGGCAGCGGCACGTGTAGATCTCCTGACACCCCCCGCCCCACCTAGGAGCCACTGCCGAAGGGGTGTGTGTGTGTGTGCCAGTCGCTTCGAGAGCTGTGCCGCCCGAGGTAAGCTCCATCCCCCTGTCCCCTTCCCACATCCCAACCCCTTGCCCCAGCCCAGATCCTGCACCCGGCACCCAAACTTCCTCCCAGAGCTCGCACCTCTCACTCCAACCCCCTGCCCCAACCCAGAGCCTGCATCCTTCCTCCCACACCGCAACCCCATGCCCCAGCCCAGAACCTTCACCCAGCACCCAAACTTCCTCCCAGAGCCCACACCCCCTCCTGCACCCCAACCACCTGCCCCAATCAAGGTACCTCACTGCATTTTCATTTACTTCCCATTACTTATAATATAGCAGGAGGATGAAGAAAAAAAGAATGAACAACAGGGGGGAGATAAGAGAGAATGTTCTTTTTCTCGGCAGGGTCCTGAGGGGGGCCCCCAAAACGAAGCTGCGCACAGGGCCCCACTAACTCTAAATCCGCCACTGACAACACTGCAAACAAATAAAGAACTGTAACACATCCATCACCATCTAGATACAGACACCGCTGTCACCAACTAAACTGCATATGTGAGGCATTGTAAATATAATTCAGGACCTTAAGTTTCAAAAACACAGGCCTCTACATATTTCAGCTAAAAGAGACTCTGTCTGTAAGAAATGCTTCCAACAATCTAAAAACCAACATTTCAGTGTGTCTGATTTACTCCAGCTACAGTGTTATACACCAGGGGGTCTCAACCTTTTTCTTGCTGAGCTCAACATGCTATACAAACTCCAGGGCCCAGTGGGGGCAGGGGGGACCCTTGGGCATAGGCATAGTTTGACTTCTATTTGGTGGGGGGAAGGGAGGGGGAAGGGGCAAGGGCTGGCAGGGCTCAGGCCAGCTCCGCACAGGGGGAGCGCCACCTCCACCCCCGACTCACCTCAGCAGGCCACCCAGTCTGTCAAAAGTGTCACTGCATACTATTATTGAAAAATTCCGGACTTTCTCATTTTTACGATATACACCTCTACCTCGATATAACGTTACCCGATATAACATGAATTCGGATATAATGCGGTAAAGCAGTGCTCCGGGGGGGCGGGGTTGCGCACTCCAGTGGATCAAAGCAAGTTCAATATAACGCGGTTTCACCTATAACGCGGTAAGATTTTTTGGCTCCCGAGTACAGCGTTATATCGAGGTAGAGGTGTAATTATAAAATAAATCAATTGGAATATAAATATTGTACTTACATTTCAGTGTATAGTATACAGAGCAGTATAAACAAGTCATTCTCTGTATGAAATTTTACTTTGTACTGACTTTGCTATGCTTTTTATGTAGCCTGTTGTAAAACTAGGCAAATATCTAGATGAATTGGTGTACCGCTTGAAAGACCTCTGCATACTCCCTGGTTGAGAACCACTGTTCTAAGTTATGTAATTCTTAATGTATTAATGATCTGTCTTGAACTTCTCATACTGTAGGTTGTTAGGTCTCGAAAAGTACCATTTCTCACAGAAAGTAAACTTTTCTCACAGAAAACTTCCCCTAGATTTGGAATAAACATAACTGGGCTTGATATGCCAATAACAGGATTTGGTATATTAAATCAGACCAGTGGTCCATGAAATCTGGTTATGCTGGATGTTTTTGGGAGAAAAGCACCAAATCTGTATAAAAGAAAACAAATTAGCAAAGATAAATGTATATTTAAAATTTTATTTTAATGGGAATAAAACCAGAATCTCAGACGTGTTTTGTTGGTCAGGTACTGTATGTATTTAGCAGGTGTGACTAAACAATTATCTGAAGGCACTTCCAGAATACTGAGAGAGAGTCCTAAAGCTCTAACCAGTACACATTAATTAACTTACAAACTTGATTGCGTACTGTAACAGTGAGGTGAATTAGACAATGGAATGACTTGCCACCTTCAGTAAATACAGAATAAGAAACATAAGAACATATTACTTGACACTCCAGTGTCCACTATACTCCTTTCCAGTAGTGATTTCAGTTTTACCAATGAATTTGTTTATCACTTGCTAATGAGAGACTCTTATTTAATTCATGAACTTCCTGCCCAGCTAATGATTGCCAGGAAGAATTATATATAGATATTTTAAATTATTTCTTCTAGGGAAGGGGAGCAATGGCTAAAAATGAGGAGTGTACTAAGGCAGAAGGTCCTGAAACCCAAGGATGTGGCTGTTTTCTCTGAAGGAGTCAATGAAGTCATCACAGACTTAATTAAGAGAATCCACACGCTCAGGAGTCAAGAGGAAGATGGGGAAACCGTGACCAATGTTAACAACCTTTTCTTCAAGTATTCCATGGAAGGTGAGAGACAGACCATATAATATCTGGAAAGAAAATTAATGCTAAATCATGTGATTATAATTAGGCATTTTTTTATCATAAACTGCCACACTCAAGCTAATTTAAAACAATCAGAGGGCTTGATCCTACAAATGCTTCACTTAACTAGTGCCTGCCTAAATTCTGTCTGCAGTTTCAACCGGGAAAAATATTTTTCTTCAGTGCCTACATGTGCCTAACTGTGAGGTTCTTACACTTTCTTCAGAAGCATCTGGCTACTGGTGGAGACAAAGATACTTGACTAGATAGATCTCCAGTCCAATCAAATATAGCGATTCCTATGTTCTTGTGTAACTGTTATGTAGCATTGTTTTTGTGCATTTAAACATTTGTTTTATTCCTTTCCCAAATATCTGATTTTCAGCAGTGGTTGAATTACTGTTTTTTGTTTTAAAGTTTCATGTGGTTCTTTAACTGACACTGCATGAACTAGAGAGACAAGGGGAGTGAGGTAATATCTTTTATTGGATGAACTTCTGTTGGTGAGAGAGACAAACTTTTGAGTTTACACAGAGCTTTTCTTCAGATCTGGGAAACTTACAGTGTCACAGCTAAATACAAGATGGAACAGATTGTTTAGCATAAGCAGTTAACACATATTTCCAGGGATCCTTCAAAGTGAAGTGGCCTGTTGACACCCCTCCAGTCATAGGGAGGAAAGAAAGTGGTGGTGGGAAGCAACTGGGAAGGCATTGTTAGTGGGCTATAGATTGTTGTAATAAGCCATAAATCCTGTGTCTCAATTCAATCCATGATTTTTAGTGTCTAGCAAAGTTATGAACTTAAGCTCCCAGGCTCATCTTTTGAAATGTTGTGCAGGTTCCCTTTGAGGTTGAAGACTGATAGGTTAGATATAGAGTGATCGCTTTGTGAAAAGTGTTCACCCACAGGTGATAGGGTGTTTTTATCTTTTATCATTTTCCTGTGTGAGTTCATTGGAGAGTGTAATGATTGTCTGGTTTCACCCACATAGTTTCTGTTGGGGCATTGAGTGCACTGGATGAAGTACACTACATGTTGCTATAGGCACGAGTAGGACCCATGGATCTTGAAAGGTGTATGTCGGGGGTGTCGATCATTGTAGCAGTGGAGGTATGTCTGCAGGTTTTGCATCTGTTGTTCTGGCAGGATCTGGTGCTACTTTGAGGTGGTGTGTCCGTGGCCTGTGGGGAGCTTGCTTCTGATGATGAGCTTGGAGAGGTTGGGGGGTTGTTGGAAGGCCAGAAGAGGGGGTTCAGAAAATATTTATTTCAGGATGGGTCCCCATTGAGTATGGGTTGTAGTTGTTCGATGACACCCCATATGGGTTCCAATGTGGGGCGCTAGTGACAAGTAGGGGTGTGTGGTCAGAGGCAGTTTTATTTCTGTATTGAAACAGGTTCTCTCAGGGTATTTGGGAGGCCTGTTCTGTGATGCAATCTTCTTTTCTGGTGGAGTGTCCTTGTTCGTTGAAGGCAGTCTTGAGTGTGTTAAGGTGTGTATCCCAGACTTTCTCCTCAGAGCATACATATTCTGTGGTATCTGAGTGCCTGGTTGTAAGGAACAGATTTCTTGGTGTGTTTGGGGTGGTTACTGGATCTATGAAGGTAGGTGTGGTGATCCGTGGGTTTCTTGTATATAGTTGTGTGTAGGGTTCCATTGTTGAAGTTTATTGCAGTATGCAGGAAGTTGATGCTGGTATGGGAGTATTCCAGATAGAATTTAATGGATAGGTGGTGGTTGCTAAAGTTGTGCTGGAAGTCTATAAGGGAGTTTAAGTCATCTGTCCAGAGAATGAAAATATAATCCATGTATCTCAGGTATATCATTGGTTTCGTAGTTCATTTGTCCAGAAATAATTCTTCAAGGTGGCCCATGAAGAGGTTGGCGTATTGGGGAGCCATCCTAGTACCCATAGCTATTCCCATGGTTTGGACAAAGTGTGTGTTGTTGAATGTAAAAATGGTTATGGGTGAGGATGAAATGGATGAGTTTGGCGATGTAGTTGGGGTAGATATATGAGGTTTGTCCAATGTCTTGTAAATATTTGGGGCAGACAGCTATGCTGTCATTGTGAGGGATGTTAGTGTATAGGGAGGTGACATCCATAGTGGCAAGAATGGTGTTCTGAGGGAGGTCGTTAATACTGCAGAGTTTGTGGAGGAAGTCAATTGTGTCCTAGAGGAGGCTGGGCCTTTGTGTGATGAATGGTTTGAGGATGTTTCTGTGAGTCCTGATGTTCCTTCAGTAAGAGTGCCATGACCAGATACGATGGGTCCGCTTGGATTCCCTTGTTTGTGAATCTTGGGAAGCATGTAGAAGGTCCCTGGGGTTGGTTCGTGGGGGATGAAATTGTAGAGTTTTCCTTGGACACAGACGCCGGTTTCCTCAGGGCCCTGGGGGTGCTCAATCCCTCCACTCTGCCCCAGATTCTTGAAATCTCTAGTTATGAGTCTACAGAAAAGTGATGTGTGTATGTGTTTGGTTTTGTTTTAGTTTTATTTAAAGAAAGTAAGGAAAATATAAACATGAGTCAAATAAGGGACCCATCTATTAAAAAGGAGATAAAGGAGATGTTGAAGTTATTTCTTTTATCATAGAAAGGACACATAAGGAGGTCATTTAATCTACCCTCTGTTTTATAAGGGACTGTATTATCCCTAAACCATCTCCAGTAAGTGCTAGTCAAACTAATTAACCATGTTTTTGCAGACTTGGTTATGTTCCTTTACCTTTTAATTCTGTACCATAAATAACTCAAAGAAAGAAAAAAAAAGAATGAAGGGACTGTAAATTCTGTGACTTTTCTCCTGTGCAGGTGTGGCAACTATTCTGTATGAATCCCGATTGGGCTGCCTGGAAAACAACATCCCAGAGAAGACTGTAGAATACATTGAGGCTCTGGAGTTGATGTTTAGCATGTTTAAGACAACTATGTATGCAGGGGCAATTCCCAAATGGCTTCGTCCATTTATTCCAAAACCCTGGAGAGAGTTCTGCAGATCCTGGGATGGACTCTTCAAATTTAGTAAGATTTAATAATAGAAAAGTTCAACTTTGTCTCTGTAGCTGCGGTCACTGTATTTGAATAGAGCTTGTTGCATTTGTACCCTAAAATTATAGTAAGAAACTGGGGAAGAGGAAGAAAAGTAGGAATAAACTACAGTGAGAAGTATTAAGGGATTATTTAGGGTGGTACAGTAAGAGAAACTAGATGAACATTTGGGATACGTATCAGAAAGAACTTCTTGACAATGAGATCTACTAGGCTGTGGTGCAGTAATCTTTTAAGAGGAGTGGTGGAAGCCGCACTGATTGGGACAATTGAAAGTAGACTGAACAGAAAACTAGGAAAAGTATTCTAGGAAACAATCCTTTATTGGCCAAGTGATGGACTGTGCAGCCCAACAGATCTTTTCCATCTCTATCTTCTATGTTTCTGTGAAATCATGCTTATTATCCAGAGGTTAAAGATATTCTGACATTTGCTTTTTTGCTAAAGCTTATTTGTTTTATTACCCCAATTACCCATCCACCTTGTTTGTCTGTCTTATTCACCTGTTGCATTTCACAAGCCAAAGCCGAGCACGGGGGCCAAGGTTTTTCAGGAATTCTAGAGATATGTTATCATAGCCTGCAGCTGTTCCACACTTGATGCTACCCAGTGTCTGTTCCAGCTCTGTTACAGTGAATGGTTCTGGGCAGCTTCTGATCTGGTGTACATGTTTAAACATACATCATTTGTTCCTCACTTGTCTTCGCACCTGTTTCTCCAAAGGTGCTCTAGCCACTTTAAGTAGGTGTCCAGCTACTTGGTTGGGTGTCACTGAGAATCGGCAGAGTGCAGGTGGCTGCTGCGCTGCTCCAAGTCATCAGAGCAGACTCCAACACTTGCGGCTGGAGCGGGTAAAGCTCATCCTCTCGGTTGTCTCCTTCCATCTGGCTCAGTGAGCAGTGTCCAATGATTCGATCAGAGGGCCAGCGACATCTGGGTCACCAGATGCCTCCTACTGCTCGAGCAAGGCAGCGCTCTCCTCGTCGAGAGAGGGGATGTAGACTGGGCGGCAACCGCATGGGATGGCTCTGCAGGCTGCTCTGTAGATAGCACCACAGAAGCAACGGTACTGAGATATGCCGGGCTGGTATTGTCACCACACTCTTCTTATGGCCGCCTGATGTTCTTACGTCAAAGTGTGAAAAATATTCCATTTGGAAACAATTTTGCCAATATGGTCTAGTTAATCCCTTATTTTACATTACCGGTTCATGATTTATTTTCATCTGTTCTGTTGCTTGTTCCTCACTTGAAGTCAGAATCATCTGTTAAGCACTTTTTCAAAACCTATTCAATTTAACGGAAGTTTTTTTCCCATTGACTTCAGTGAGTTTTGGAACAGGAGCTCTGTGACAAAACCATCATCTCTTCAACTGATTGTGAACAAAATGAGGACTCAGCTCATGAACTCTTAAGAAATACTGAGTGCATTTCATGCAAACATACCTACTACTTAAAAAAATGAGGGAAGAAAAGTAAGGGAAAATATGGCATATGGTTTGAAACATTCTATTTACAAGCATTTCAGTGGCCTATAATCACTCTGAGGAAGTGGAGTTCCGTTTTCATATTTCTCATTTAAAATTTGGGGGTATCAGAAACCCTCTAATCCTTTTTACCCTGCAGAAGTAGTGTTAGAAACTGCATGCGTCTGCATATTATTTCATTCATATTGTAGCAGAATCTTCTTTTTCTAAATTCCCCCAAATGTATACTTTTTGAGAGAAGATTTGAGGTTCTTTCAGATTATTAACTATATAAATCTGTCATATGGCTGGAGCTGTATTGACCTATAGTAATTACTCCTGAGCGAATTATGCGCCAAAAAAATAAAAATTATGCACCCCCAAAAAATTATTTTAATATGATTTTAAAATTCTGAATGTAGGGGGCTCCGTGGAGGCGGGCGGGGGGGGTCCGGGTATGGGGAGATGGGGCTTGGCGGAGGGGGTCTGAGTGTGGGGGGCTCAGTGGGAGGGTCCAGTTGCTGGGAGAGTGGGGTTTGATGGGGTGGGGATCCAGGTGGAGCTGATTGGGGCTCAGTGGGGTGGGAGTCTGAGTGTGAGGGGCTCAGCAGAGGGGTCTAGGTGTAGGGGGTATGGGCTTGTCAGGGTGAGGGTTCCATGGGCCTGCTTAACAGGGAAGTCCCAGATGCAGCCAAGGGGACGCCACATGCCGGGCTCCTGCTTCCCCCTGCGATTCCCCATCCCCTTCCTTCCCCATCTCATCCCCCTCCCCGATTGCCCCATGCCCCATCCCCCTCTCCTCACACCCACATTCCCTTCCGCCGCCCTATTCCGCCCCCTCTTCCTTTCCCACTGCCTCTTCCCCTCAGCCCCCCTTTACCCAGTCCCACCATGGTCACTCACTGTTGCACAGAAAACAGGAAGGCTCCCAGCACACAGAAGGGGAGCACGACTGGCATTAGGATCCAAGAGGCGGCATTCAGCTGCAGAGTCAGTGGAACCCATATGCAGCCTCCTTCAGCTGGGCAGCTCTGCGGTTGCAGAAATGAGGGGCAGGGGGCAGTGGCAGGTAACCCCGTGTGCTTCCTCCATGCCTCGCCTCTGTTTGGGTGGGGGGAACCCTCCCCCTAACTGCATCCATGGTCATCCCCCCGCCCATGCGAAGCACAGGCATTCTGTGAAGGGGGTGGTTCCTGCAGAATTTCCCCAGGACTAAAATTAAAGATGCGCAAGATCTATCAGGAAATCAAGTCCATACCCTACGCATATAAAATTATTCCCTATTATACATTTTTGATTGCTTTAAAGAATTCATTTGATGGGGTTTCTATCATTTCCCCTTGTGGAACACGCACCTCCAAAAACAAACAACCCCTTCCCCTGCAGACCTCTGATTAATATTAACAGCAACTGAACAACAACCGAATCCAATCTCTTTGTTTTCAGCTTTCTTTTTCACATTGTTTCTTTTTTGCAGTAGCGCCTGCTGTGAAAAAGGAATTAAAATATAGGTGGAGATTATGTGCTTTACCAAGGTCACCTGTTTTTGTGTGTGTGTGTGTGTGTGTGTATATGTATGTATGTATGTATGTGCAGTCTTCATACAAGAATATGCCAATTATGGTTTTTTTCTACGAGGTCAGCATCTGACCAATCTGTGGAGTGGTTTAAGCATTGTGGTATGACCTCTTCTTTAGCATCACCCATTTCTACACCTGAGGTGCCATGTTTGTAATCATCGAAGTATAAATCGGAAAGAAGGGATGGAAGAAAAGAAGGGCTGAACAATGATTAGGGGAATATAAAAAAAAATTTTTTTTTTGTAATTTAAAAGGTCAAATCCACGTTGACAACAAGATAAAGGATATTCAGTCCCAATTGGACCAAGGAGAAGAAGTAAAAGGTGGGCTACTCACCTATCTCCTATTGAGTAAAGAGCTTACGGTGGAAGAGATCTATGCCAATATGACTGAAATGCTTCTGGCAGGAGTGGACACAGTAAGCTTATTATTATATCATTTTCTGTTTGGACAATTTTATTGCTGTATAAATCCACTCCATTTGCAACCTAGTGCCAGTGCTATGTAAGCGTTTTTGTGCATCATAAATTGTATGTATGAATCATGGAATCATAGTAGTAATGGAAAATACGTACTAGTTCATATAGTCCATCCACTGAAGCCAAAATGTACTCTCTACAGTGCAATTTGATTTTGAACTTTGTAAGTGATGGGGCTTGCACCATTTCCTGTGGGACGCTACTTCACAGTCTAATAGAAATATATGTATTTGTTAGTTTTTCTTAAATTCCCTTTTCTAGTTTGGCGATGGAATAAATATGTAATGGCCCTTCGGAAAAACAGAAATAGGCAACTCTATTGAGGGTCTCTATTTAAAAAAATAGGTATATTTGGAACTTGCTAATGGATTTTGGTATATGTACAATTAATCATTGAGAGACATTATAGATAAGATATGTGGCCTCTGTTAAAGTCCCTTTGCGCCACTAGCCTGATATCAAGGGGACCTTAGACCAACCGTAAGGGGATGATGTGAAGTCACTAGCATGGAGGAAGCTTGTCCTCTGTGCCATCTTTCTGCCATCCCTCCTGGTATAGGGGACATGATGCGGTGTGGTGGGGGCATTCCAAGGCAGGGGTGGGGCATGATGGAGCCGGGGAGGGGGGCAGCGAGGCTAGAGAATGATGCACATAATGCCTAAGGAACCATTCTTGACAGTCCAAATTAGAACATCCCTGTGGATTAGAGACTGGGGTGGCATAAAGGTGGTTTTAGAGCCAACGATGCCTTCCCTGCCCCACAGCATGGGCTCAGCACAGCTGAGAATTGCATTCTAGGATTGGGTTCATCCACAGAGAGATAAATGAGCCATGTGCTGGAGACTGTAATAAAGCAAGCTTTTTGGATCAAGCCTAGAAGGGTTTGATGAAGATATACAACCCCATACATGCTTGTTTGCCAGTAAGCTTGAAATAAAAATCCAGCTCATTTATTGCTAATTGGATTCAGCTTTTTCTGGTGTGAGAGCGGTCTGGAGGGATTCAGGATGGTTGGGGAAAAAAGAAACTTTATTAGCCTCAGAACAAAAAGCATATGTAAGGGTTTATTTCTGTATTGAGAATTACTTCATTGATTAAGTTTTCCAGAGGCTTATGAGCTTGGTGAGCTTTTTATTGTTGTTTATTTAAATAAAACACAATTTATTCATCCCATTAGTTTTCCAGCCCTTCAAAGCCCTAATTTTCCACTTTTAGGCTGAGAGAGTTTTCATTAAACCAAAAGGGCAGTGTACTAGTTCACGACAACAGACTCTGTGTTTGCATTTATACAGCTTTCTCAACTGACAATGATTACTTTATGAGAAACCTGTGCTTCTGGCTTCCCCCCTTCTGGTACATGATAGAAATGGAGGGAGCCCTGTTTCCCCACTGCTGTCATTTCAGTTTTTGTTACATGATGGAAACTGAAAGAGCTCACAAGGATTATTAAAGATTTAGAATAAATTTGTAAAGCTGTTATTTGGCTTCCAAGCATTTTGGCTGTTGTAGCACAGAGCCAGTTTTGAAGAGGATGTGAAGGAGCTGGGAACCTGAGAGGAGACACTGTTTATATTACAATAACTCCTGTGTGTAGTTTGGCACAGCTGTCAGCCTCTTCAGAGAGGAGCAGCCCAGAACTGAGCTGTAGTGAAGGATGTTATAGGGATGGAAGGCTAAAAGGAGGATTCTTGGGGTATTTCTACCCTGAAATGTAAGCACAGGGTTTGAACTCTGGCTGAAGCCTAATCTCCCTTCCATCTACACACAAATCGCACTAACCCAGGGCTATGACCCAGGGGCACCCCTGGGGCGGAGGGTCTGAACCTGAGTCAAGCTGGGTCCGATGGTTCAAGCCCTGTTGCTTTGCAGTGTAGATGCAGCCCCCTGAACTTATGCGCAGGGAATCCGCAAAAAGTATTACACAATCCGACTAGCCAACTTTCTTTGTCCACTGGACAGTCTTTTGGTGGCCAGTCAAGTGTTCCCACACTGAACTATGAAAAAAAGGGCTAGAATGTACACATTTTGGGAGGGCTCAAGGAAGTCAGGGATATGGGTGGTTGGTTTTGGGCTTACATAATGCAGTGTAGACACTGGAGCCCCAGGTTGGGATCCAGGTTTCAACAATTCCTAACTTGGGGTTACAAATGAGTGTAGATGCTCAAGCCCTAGGTAAACAAACCCGTGGTCTGCTAACTCAAGTTCTACTAACCCTGGGCTTACATTGCAGAGTAGACACATTTGGGGACAGGATTTTCAGCATTGTGTCCTATTTTTGCAAATAAACACAAACTGAAAAGGTCACTGTCATGTCAAATTTGCTCTCTGATTCCAATTTTGTAAAGTTATACCAACAGAAATATTTCCATACATTTGTTTTTACCAGTATATTGTTGGCAACCCAAAAATTCCAACATTGTGCTAGTGCATGAGAACCTGAAAGTAAAACTGATTGGTAACTAACTATACAAAAATGAAACTGAATAATCTGTTTTCATTATATAAGCAGAGAAAAATGCAAACTCAAACCACATGAATGGTAAAAAATAAATTAGAGATTAAATCTTCTTTCACTTTTAGTAATCTAAGGTGGTATAAAAAAGGAAACTGCCTTGCTTGCCAAGGGACACTGAATCAATCAGTCTTGGAGGTATTCTGTCTGTGAAGAGGAGTTCTGAGCGAAGGAGGTTCAAAAGAGGCTTCTGTATCTTCTTTTTGGATGTGGTAACATGTGGTCTCCCACACACACATGCACCTGCACCAACTTCAGTCATTTATCTGGTGTGGAGAAGGATGGGGCCATGGCTTCTGTTCTTGTGTCCTATTCCTGCCTTTGTGTGGTTATGCAGGGCAAGCCACATTCGGGATTTATGATTTTTAATCTGCCCGTGTCTCTTTAAATGCCTAATTCTGTACAGTCTTTCATGATCATTAGTATCATAAATGTTTGATTTGTTTTCTTTGAATATGCCATTTTAATGGAAACCGCTTATTCACGAAGAGAGTAAAAAGGTGAATTATGCTGGTTTGTTTTAAACTCTGATTTATACACACACTCCCCTTAAGCGTTGACAGGAAAACTTTCCATAGGAGGTAGAATTATGTCATATTAGTGCTACAGTAGTTTCCAACTGCTGGAAAATGCATATTGTGTTACAGCATCACTTACTAAATGATGAGATATAATCCTAGAAATGATCATAGCAATGTTCTCATTAGTAGGATTCTGTGAGGAGAATGCAATATACTGACAGCGGGTGGAAATGGTCTGCGTAGCATTCTATCATTCTGTCTCCTGCAGAATATTTTTGTTGGGAGGAAAAGCACAGCAATAACTGAGAACTAGCTATTAATTTCATCCATTCATGTTTATAGCTTTTGTGTTACATATATCATTTTGTAGTTTACTTTTCCTGTCGCTTTTTGATCTTTCACTGGTAGAAATATGGAGGAGGGGTAGTTCTGGTGTTTTTCCAGGTGGAAAAGGGCTGAGGTAGAGGATGATGTAGACTGATTCCATGCCCTGAAACCCAGATGTTACTCATAGTCCTTTTGTTTTATAACTGTGTGTGTACATAGTGAATCCTTAGTTGAAAACTGCTTGTTTTTCCTGGCATTGAATTAAACATTTGTAGCTACTTTCATTATTTTTTTTCTTTTTCCTGATAATGTTGGCGGTTTCTTTCTTAGACTTCTTTCACTTTGTCCTGGGCAACATACTTGTTGGCAAAGTATCCTGAAGTTCAGCAATCTGTGTATGAAGAGATAGTCAATAATCTGGGAAAAGATCAAATTCCCACTTCAGATGATGTTCCCAAATTGCCAATGATTAGAGGCCTGCTCAAAGAAACCCTGAGGTAAGTGAAACTTTTAATTATCAACTTGCAGTTGTCTGCCAGTTTCTTTCTGGTTATAGTGACACTTGTGTCCAAACTAAAATATGTATTCAGTTGGTGGTGGTGGCTGCTATTATTTTTAGTCATTGTATCACCAGTATACCAAGTGCAATCTGAGCAATTTAATATCATACATAGCACCTATATAATGCTTTATGTTTTCTAAGTGCTGTATAAATATTAACTAATTAATGCTCACAATGTTCCTGTAAGATAGATAATTAAGAGCTTGACTGTGCCATTAGAGCACTGGTCACTGTGAGGGACTGTGAAACCACGCTACCTCAGCAGGAGTTCTGGAGAAGTTGTGCCTCAGAGAGTACTGGGAGCGTGTGCCCACTGCAATAATTCTTGAGGCCATGGACGCATAACCTACTTCTCCCTTTTAGGGGTGGCTAGCTCTGCTAGCCAGGAGCAGTCCCTGTGCTCATGGAAGTAAAATGACAGAAGTATTATTATCCCTATTTCACAGATGGAGAAACTCAGGCAGCGAGATTAATTTATCATGTTAAGGCTACCCATTATTTCACTTTTGTTTGCAATGTTGTTGTAACTGTGTTGGTCCCAGAATATTAGCGAGACAAGATGGGTGAGGTGATATCTTTTATTGGACCAGCTTCCGTTGGTGAAAAAGACAAGCTTTAGAGCTTACGCAGAACTCTTCTTCACGTCCGGAAAAGATACTTTAGTCCAATAAAAGATATTACCTCACCCATCTTGTGTCTCATTATTTCTCTGGCAGAGCCAAAATTAGAACTACAGAGATACTAGCAACTAGTCTTATAGAGACTAATAGACCATGGTGCCCCACACTCTTTTGGTCTCCAACAGAATCCATACTTGCTACAATTCTTTTCATTCTGAGTGTATGTTAATGTGGTAGCTAAACTGGATCCTTTGTAAACCTTTGTAAATTTTATAAATTATAGATGCTGAATCCCTCCTTAACATTTGTCTGTAGGTTATTCCCAGTATTGCCAGGAAATGGTAGAGTGACACAACAAGACTTGGTTGTTGGAGGATACTTGATACCTAAAGGGGTGAGTTGTGTGATGGTCTTATGGAGGGAGAGGAACAGATTTTCTTCATAGAATCATAGAAATGTTGGGCTGGAGAGGACTTCAAGAGGTCATCTTCTATCCCTAACCCTATCTCTTATAGGGATATCCCTATCATGCTGAGGCAGGATAAATACACCTAGACCAATCCTGACAGATGTATGTCTTTATGTATAGAAAGTCGTCCATTAAGACAGAATTACACTGGTGTGACTTTGCAGGATATCATCAAAGATGGGAGTGCAGGAAAGAGGAACTTATAATAGTGTTCATTTATGTGGAAAAAAGATAATTTAATCATTGACTATGTTTTTTACCTGAATCCTGATGTAAATGAGTGTTTTCCTTATTAGAAGGACTGGTTCTCACCCTCTGATGAACCTTTCCGTTTTGGCTTTACTCTTCAGTACCCTAGAAACAAAGAGGGCTGCTGATAAATTTGTATTAGGATGCTATGATTAGGTTTCAAAACTAGAGCACACATTTTATTATTTTTGTAAATTAGTGTAATTTGGGGTATCAAACTCATTCTGTCAGGAGAGATGAATTTCTGTTTTAATTATGGTCCTAGCCAAGGTATAAAATTAGGACTACAAACTACCCTCAGTTCACAGTGGAACTCTCATTGATACCATTTGGAGACTTACACAAGATGAAGGGTAGAATATGCCTTTACAAAGTAACTAAACTTAGAAGGCCTGATTCTCATTTACGTTAAGGCTCCCTGACACTGCTGTGGAAGAGTTAAGTGGCCTTTTAAATGGATGTAAACGTAATTTGCTCCCACTTTAAAACCCTTTTACGTTGTCAGAGCAAAGTAAAAGGGCCTTAGTGTAAAGAATCAGACCCTTGCGTTCTTAACATTCTTTATTATTTATCTATTGTTGCATTCAGCATCTCTCTTGGTAACATGATCACCTTTAGTACTGCCACTATTTCCGATCTCTGTTTTCCTTTCTTCTACATTCTCATTTCTATTTCTCTCCTTTTCCACTGTCTTGGCCTGAATCCACAAAGGAACTTAGGTGTTACGTGGAAAATCATTGGAACAATGAGATCCACATCTGAGTTAGGCACCTAGGCTCCCTATACAATGAATGGGGAGAGATAGGTGTCTAAGAATACGATCCACAAAAGCCAGCACACTAGGCAAGAAGCTGCCTAAGCTAGCCAATGGGAAATTCTGACAAGAGTGGTATGTCCTAAGTTCCATCCATTTCATGGAGATAGGCACCTAAATCTGGGCTGCAGGGAGGCACCTATCTCTGCTAGCAATCCACAAACAGGAACCGCTCTGCTGCAGTCAGGCCTCGTCATTTATTGTGAGAATGAATTAGGCATCTGTCTCACTCCACACAAACAGCTGGAGGAAGAGGAGGAAAGAGTGGTGCCAACCTTATAACCCAGTGGTTAGAGCACTCACTTGGGATGTGGGAGACCCAGTTTCAATTCCCCCCTTTACCTGATAGGGAGAAAGGAGGTGGGAAGGGTTCTCCCCCCACTCTCAGACAGTGCTCTAACCACTGAGTGATGGGTTACTTTGATGTGGGGCTCCCTCAATCCCTCTTGTTCAAGCTGTTGCACTTTAAATCAATAGTTCGTCAGTGTGCCAAAGAAAGAGTGAGAATAATTTTATAGCCTGGTGTGCTGAGCACCCACCTGGCAGGTGGGAGACCGATGGTCCATCCCCCTTTGTGGATATGAGCCTTTGTGTCTGTCTCCTCCCGTCTCCATCTTGCATTTCTCTTCCTGACACAATTCCCAGTTCTGTACCTGTGCCTTCCCCATCCCATCTGCTCTAAAATAATCATCAGTTAAATAATTAATGCTGACCTTTACAATGTCATAGATAGACTTTAATGTTAACAACCCATGAGGTTAACGAGGGAACTGGGGAATCTACATCCCTCAAAGTTATTGTTTCACAATGTCTGCAGACTTAAGAATTGCACTGATTTACACCTGGTTCATGTTTGGAAAGTTATTTTCACAATCATGAGGTTAAAAATTGAATTTAAAAAAAAATGAAAGCTTAGACTTTGCAGAATCTGAGTGTGGCATGTGGGCCACAAAAATACATTGCACCAGGAGTGGGTTTGGCTCATGAGTCATGTGTTTGAAACCACTGGTTTAATTCTGATATATGTTCGCAAAATAGACCATCATGTTTCTGAAGGAGTGATGCAACTGCTTGTTGTGTGTACCCTTATGGCTAAATTCTGCTCTTAGATGTACACATGTGGCTTCTGTTCATTGCTCTTTTTATATTATAAGTTGTGATGTATGTTCTTTGCCATGCTATCTCCTGTTGTGTCACCTCCTGAGGCCAAATTCCACTGTTACACTGGTGTGAATTAAGAGTTAATCTGTTGAAGTCAGTGAAGATATGCAGGATTTACACCAAAGTAGTTGAGAACAAAATCTAGTCTCCAATTTCTTTTTTTTATAAATGCAGTTCTTCAAGTGATGTCCCTGTGGGTGTTCCAATGTAGGTGCGGCAGCACCCCCTATGGCTGGGAATGGAGATCTTCACCAGCAGTGCCTGTCGGACTGCACATGTGCAACTCCCCTCTTTTGCGCTGTGCACAGGACGTATATGTAGCACTGTGCAGTCTGACCGCCCCCACTTCCTTCACTACCACCTTTGGTCTGGGACAGAATCCACTAGCAGAGCCCGCTTCTCCTATTCCCTCATAGAGATTGCCTTGCCTGATAGTGTAGTTAGTATTTTCCTCCTCTTCTTTCTCCTCTAGCTAAAGAAAATATATATGTTTTTGTTTTAACTTTATCTTTACAGTTCTCATAGTTTAGGTTTCTGTTTTTCTCATTTCCCCCACCTTTCCCGACCGGGAAGCCTTTTCCCTTCACCCTTATGCCCGTCTCTCCCAAATAAATTTGTTAGTCTCTAAGCTGCCACAAGTACTCCTGTTCTTTTTGCGGATACAGACTAACACGGCTACTACTTTGAAAAGTTTAAGAGTGCGTTTCATGTGGGGCCGCCTTCTCAATAATGGACAGCCACCCGCAGCATATCTGCTGTCTGGAGACACTGCCTCGCCTGAAACCCAGAGCCAGAAAGGACAGGGACATTAGATTGAAACTTCTCCTCATGGAGAGATCGCTACATCCAGCATCGGGCCCGGGCCCGGACTCTTCCCCAGAGAGGCCTTCACGCGCTACCAGGTCATCTGCTGACCCCCATTCTCCATGCCCTGTGAAGAGAAAGTCATCCTGTAATCGTGCAGATGACAAGAAACGGGCTTCCCCCTTCTCACACTCTGAGGCGCAGCCTGCCAGAACACTGCCCCTGGCTAGGTTGGTGGCCTCAACCTCATTTGACAAGAGACGTAGCTCCAGGGCTCGTCTGAGTACCTCTGGTACAGGCTCAAAGAAACAGTTTAAATACCCTTTCCGGCCAGACCTTCAGACCTCGATGCCATTTCCCAGCTCTGAGGAGTGAGGCAGCCCGATGAAACTGTTGGCACCGAGTAAGTCCTCGGCACCATTAAAATCGTTGGCACCGGCCAAGTAACCAACACCAACCAAATCATTGACACTGAAATCTTTGGCACCAGGCAAGTCTTTGGCACTGGCCAAGTCATCGGCTAAGTCTCTGGAGCCATCTTCTGAAATTTCAGGGACATTCACCCTCTCATCAGCACCGTGTATTACAAAGGCACCAATGATGCTCCTTTCGCCTCCACAAGACTTCAGATACTCTAAAGACCTGCTGATATCTGACACTCCAGAGTCTCCACTTCTTTGATGGGATCTCCCTCCACTTTTGCCTTCCTCCCCGGTTCACAACATTCCTTCCTCTCTTTGCCGAGAACAGCACCTCCCTTCCCCAGGGAGGAAGAGGAGGAGGAGGGCTCCATTGTTCCTTCGACGACTTGACAATTTGCACTGGCTTATCCTCACTCTGGCCCCCAATCCTGGCAGGGACCACTGTGGATGCAGCCATATGTACCACTCCCACCAAACTGGCCATATTGGGACCCTTGGGCTACAGGGCACAATTCAGGAAGCTCCCAGAGAGCAAAGCTGGAGACCTATACCTCTCCTTTTTCTATCAGTCTCTCGCCCTCAGGAAGTCGAACCACCACCAGTACCAAATGAGAAGGAAGAACAGGAAGAGGAGGCTCCCCCAACTTTAAATTTTTCCTCCTTCTCACCTGACAAGGCGATTATGCCTCCACCCCCTACATCTGCCGACGACTTCAGGCACTTTCAAGATCTATTCCATAGGATTGTGGATTCCCTCCAGATACCATTGGAGGAAGTCAAAGATCAGTGGTATAAACTGCTGGACATTCTCCACACATCCTCTTCCTCAGAGAGCACACTACTGATTAATGAAGCTCTTCTCGAACCCACGAAGGTTCTATGGCAAGGTCCTCGTAGTAGTCGTGGCCTTCCTAAGAAAACAAGAAATAGTCATTTTTCCATACTTGGACGACTGTCTCCTCAAGGCCCTTTCTGAAATCAACACTCTAAGCTGTTCATATAACAATGGACCTGTTCACAAAGCTAGGCCTCCTCGTGAACCTAGAAAAGTCCATTCTAATGCTAGTACAACAGCTGGAATTCATCAGTACACAGTTGGATGCCATACATGCCAGAACCTTCCTACCACCTCACAGATTCTTGGCTATAACGGATCTGGTATCCGCCGCACGGGTCTGCCCCCAGATCTCTGCATGAATGTGCCTCCAATTTCTAGGCCACATGGCAGTGACCATGTTTGTGGTCAGGCATGCAATACTGCACATGCAATGTCTTCAAGCATGGCTCTGTATTGTATACCTCCCCCACAAACACATCATTCACAAACTTTTATCCATGTTGAGGTAAGTCAAGGACTCACCGCTGTGGTGGACACAGCCCAGCAATGTCTTTGTTGGAGTTCCTTTCCTACAACCATCACCGACTATGATACTAAACACCAATGCCTCCCTAATCAGTTGGAGAGTGCATCTACACGAATACACAGTGCAGGGCAGATGGTTGTCCACCAAATCTACTTTAGACATCATTCTCCTAGAGCTATGAGCAGTTTTCAATGCCTGCTGACATTTCCTACCTCTTCTAAAATATCATACCATAAGAGTGATGATGGACAATCTCACCTGCATGTATTACATCAACAGGCAGGGTGGAGCGAGGTCCCACTCTTTATGCTTGGATGCAATCAAATTGTGGAACTGGTATATCCAGAATAACATCTCCATTTCAGCTGCATACCTCCCAGAACACAACCGCAGACACATTGAGCAGGATGTTCTTGCACGATCATGAGTGGGAGGGGAGCTGGATATGTGAGCACTTCACCCCATATTCAGCCAATGGGGCCGTCCCAGGATAGATCTCTTGGGCACTCAACACAATGCCCACTGCCCTCAATTCTGTTCCGGAGCAGGACTGGGGCGCGGATTGCTGGGGGACACATTCCTCGTAACCTGGGATGCACCACTCCTTTATGCCTTCCCTCCTTTTCTCCTATTCCAAGTACTTTGCAAAATACAGGAATACCAAGCTCATGTCATACTAATAACTCCAACATGGCCACAACAGGTCTGGTATATTTACCTTCTATGCATGATGGTATGCTGACGGGTCTCTCTCTACCTAAAACTTTGGCTCCTCTCACAGGACACAGGATGCATTCTCCATCCCAATCCACATCTGCTCCACCTCAAAGCCTGGCTCCTCTGTGGTTCTGGGGTCCAGAAATAACCTGCTCAGACAAAATCAAACAGATACTTTTGAATAGCAGGCATGACACAACCAGACACACATTAAAAAATGGACTAGATTTCACTGCTGATGCACCTCACGTCAGGTGGACGCAGCACACTCTCCATTGCCACTTATTCTTGACTACATGCTACACCTTAAACAGCCAGGATTGGTCAATAGCTCTATTAGGCTACACTTGGCGGCAATCACTACCTTTCACTCCCCCACTGATGGCCACTCTGTCTTCACACAGCTGCTCATGAAGCGCTTGTTGAGGGGTATTCAAAATCTCTATCGCCATATACAAGACTCGACCCTGGCCTGGGCCCCTGCCTAGTCCTACGTTCTCCGACTAGGCGCCCGTTTGAACCAATGACAACCCGTTCTTACATACACCTTTCAATGAAAATGACCTTTCTTTTCACCATCATTTCTGCTAGGCAGGTAGGCGAATTCACAGCTCTCATGGTATATCCACAATACACAGTGTTGTGTAAAGACAAAATTAAACTACTCCCACACCCAAGATTCTTACCTAAGGTCCCAACATCTTATCATCTCAATCTAACAATACACCTCCCTTGCTTCTTCCCAAAGCCTCACAGTAATCAACAGGAGGCAGCTCTACAAGCCTAGACGTGAGGCGCGCATGAGCCTTCTACTTGGACAGGACTAAACCCTTCTGGAAATCGCCATGATTATTCCTCTCCACCACCAAAAGATCCGGAGGCACTGATACACCTTTACCTCGATATAACGCTGTCCTCGGGAGTCAAAAAATTTTACCACGTTATAGGTGAAACCACGTTATATCGAACTTGCTTTGATCCACCGGAGTGCACAGCCCCCTCCACCCCCCCCGGAGCACTGCTTTACCGCGTTATATCCGAATTTGTGTTATATCGGGTCGCGTTATATCACGGTTGAGGTGTATATCAAAACAATGCCTCTCTAAATGGATCTCACAGTGTATGCATTTATCTTATGAACTCCATGATGGACAACCTCCTACCTCAATCAGAACACATTCCACACAATCATTATCTACCTCGTTTGCCTTTCTTAATAATGTCCCCATTGATGACATTTGTAAGGTTGCCACATGGGCATCAACAGACACTTTTGCCTGGCACTACGCTATTACGCACGATGCTGCAGCGGATACTCTCCTTGAACATGCTGTCCTATCCTCGACAGTACATGTTGCTCCGAAGCCCCAGCCTTCCAACTAGGGTCACTGCTTTATAGTCACCTACAGTGGAGCACCCATAGGGACATCACTCAAAGAAGAAAAGGTTACTCACCCTGTGCAGTAACTGAGATTCTTCGAGTTGTGTGTCCCTATGGGTGCTCCACTACCCGCCCTCCTCCCCTCTGCTTCAGAGACGAAAATAGAAGCTCTGTGGCAGAGAATGAACTGGGGGTGGTCAGACCGCACAGCACTATATATACGTCCCACACACAGTGCGAGAGAGGGGAGGTGCGCACGTGCGGTCTGACGGGCACTGCTGGTGAAGATCTCCGATCCCAGGGGCAGGGGGTGCTGCCACACCTACAGTGGAGCACCCATAGGGACGCACCTCTCAAAGAACCTCATTTACTGCACAGGGTGAGTAACCATTTCTTCCTCTTTTCTTTTGATTGTGTTAGGCAATACATATAGGAGAAAAACAGTATATAAAAGGGTGTATTTTCTGTTTATACAAACTCATGAGGAATCTTTTACTGAGCCTAAAAGTTTTTGAAGATGATCTAATTTGAGCCAATGAGAAGGAGATCTAATTTTGAGATACCTGCTCTTTACATCATCTTTTTACCCATCATATTTCATGTTACAGAAATTATAACTCAATTATCATTATTACTGCTACATGTATCAGAATTAATTAAAAATAAAATGTCATTTGTTTTCTCAGACCCAGTTAGCACTCTGTCATTATGCTACATCGTATGAGGAAGAGAATTTCCCAATGGCAAATGATTTCCGACCTGAGCGCTGGCTGAGGAAAGACAATATGGACAGAGTGGATAACTTTGGTTCCATCCCATTTGGTTATGGCATTCGCAGTTGTATAGGAAAAAGAATTGCAGAACTGGAAATTCACCTTGCACTGATTCAGGTGAGGAATCTGTGACAGTGTTATAAAGAGATAAAAATATATTAGTATCAGCTCTTTAATATGCAAACTGCCTCTGGACATCTTTTTATTTAAGAAAAGCTTTGTTTAAAGAATGCTGACCAGGCCCCAGTCCTGCATTCTTTTTCATTAAGAATACACATGTGCTTAGAATTAAGCGTGTCAATAAAAAGCTACATTGCAGAAATAAACATTGTAAATCCCAGTTGTAGTACAAGCAAAATCCATTCAATGTAAGATTACTAAGGAAATAAATTACTTTAGTATAGAAGGATTTTCATAAGTCAATTGCAACCTTTAAATGAAAGGCTCTCTTGGCATATGGCAGGATGGTTCTTTACTCAGTTATAGCATTTTGATTAAAACATTGTTGTATTGAGAACAGCGGAGCATTTACCAGAAAGTGAAGTAGGTTTGTAATCCTGAGACTGAGGCAGACCATACTAATCAACATTCAAACCAAACATCCACTTTCTCAGTTTTTTCTCTGATCCCTGTATCTTCTTTTTCAGGCTTCTGCATGAATTCGTTTTTGCTATTTTATATAGATTATTTTGTATTGTATCCTGAGGTAGAGAAGGCTTTCCCATCAATTCCTACTTTATGTATCCATCTCCAAGAATCCCCCAAAAGATTTGGATCAGATTGAGCAATTAAAACACAAGGGTTTGAAATCTTTTTTTTCCCCATGACTTCACAGTCACAACTGATCTACTCGGATGTGCTCCACGGTCATTTGTGTAATGCTCTGTAGCATTTCAAAAAAGTTGCTGCCTCTCCCATGTGCTTTTTCTCATGCTACTTTAGTGGATGTATCATCGGCATCAATGCAATGGTCTAATATCAGCAGATTCACCTTGATTGAATGACAGCCTGTTATTGTTATTCTGTTCTATCTAGATTCTTGTATCATGCTCATCACTTTATTATCCGAGCACTTGCATTAAGAAATGTGACCAACATCTGTCATGTTCTATTGTTCCATCCTCTGCCCAGGGGGAGAAGTGTGTGCAGTGGAGTATTTTGTTTTGGAATATTTTTAATTATATACACTTGCTATATATTTGTTTGTGACGGCAAGGTCAGACATATGTGCCTTGCACTCAGAGAAGAAGGTGGATAGTCCTTAATTCCTGTGGGAGTTCTTTCCACAGTTTTAGGCCAGCCTCCGAAAAAGCTCTGTCTCTTGCACAGACAAGCTTTTCTCTTATTGTAGAAAGTTCCATTGTGCCAGAGGAGCATAGTTGTCAACCATGTTCTCCATCCTGGAGCCAAGTTTCATTTTCCCTACAGAGTAATCATGTTAAGCAGGTTCACTGGAACTGACAGCAAAGTTAGTGGTAGTGATGAACTCTAAGGAGTATTACTGGTTTTCTGTTTCTAGAATTATAAATTTGTATTTGTCTATTTATAAGCTTTCTAATATCAACATATGTCTCTTTCCAGCTGCTTCAAAATTTTGAGATCAAAATTTCTCCCAAAACTAAACCAGTCAAGGCCAAAACCCATGGACTTTTGACTCCTGGAGACTCCATCAATGTGAAATTTGCTGACAGGAAGTGAGATTCAAATGTTTAGGAAATTTTAGCGTACTCTTCTTGGAAATTGACTTGCATCTGATTGAAATATGATCGTTCTCTTGTCCATTGGCTTGTGGGCATTCTTCAAAATGATTAAGTCTTAGATGCTGACCTACTTCTAGAAATATGCAAGAGATGTTATCCTGTTCATAGAAGATAATTCCACAAGTTCACATGGAACTGTATGGAAATATAAACTTAAATACTTCCTTTTTGCACTGGGAGTTACCTTTTCCCTGGAGTAAGTTTTGGATGATAGCAATAGATGCACTGAAACAACAATATCAAGTTTAGACATAGCATATTGTCTTGTGCTTTTGTTAGATTGCTTAGTCATGAAAGACGATCATTCCTGTGTGTCTGTGTGGTGATATATACTGTTCCCAAATCTGTATATAGATATGTTGATTGACAGTTTGTTTGTTGTCTTCAATGCCTTTTTTTTTAATTCTCCCTCTTTAGTTAGTTTTAAAAAGCATTTACCTGACATGCATCAAAATAAAATTAAAGCAATCGTTTGAAACATAAAGATATTGTAAAAATATGTGGAAGATGCTGCCGGTTTGTTTAGACTCAACAATTAGGATCTGTTTTTAAAAATGTTTTTATAAAACATAAAGTGAATAGAAATAATAATTGCCCTATTCTGTTTATTGCCTTTTAAGCATTTCGTATTGGCCACAGTCGGAAGACAGGAGACTGAGCTAGATGGACAATTGGTCTGACCTAGTATGTCTGTTCTTATTTAAATATGTCTGTAAAATTTAAAAGCATTTGTAAAAAAAAAACCAAAAAAACCTTTAAAAAACATATTTAAACACCATGTTGCAGAGTTATGAACCCAAACAGTGTTGTTGTTATGTTACCACACGAAAAGCAGAAAGTGAAATTAGATTGTTTCAGTGTTCCATTTGAGTAACATGCAAATAGCAAATAAACAAGAAAAATGATGGAAATACATTAGTTTACATATTTCCATTTCCTGCGACCTAAAATATTCCTAGTAACAGAGATATTTTAAAAAATGGCAACAAAAACAAACACATATAATTTTTATCCTGATAGTCTCTTTTTAAAAGTAAGAACTGGAAAAACTCATTGTAATGTACTGCCTGCCCTCTGTAGGATGGATATGTGACTGCTACAAGGTTGATTGGTTTTAGATTAATTGACTATCTAGTGGCCAGTCTAAAAAGTGTATACTTTAAAGTTACATGATCTTTGACAGCTAGTGGAAAATATCTCTTGTATGTGGCTTCTGATCATTATGGCACCAATTTTACATTTATAAAAATATCCTTATTTGAGAGAACCCTTTACCTTGGAACTATTTTATGCTTTGAGCTAAACCATTTTGCAAAAGAGCTCAAACCTATATATTCTATAGTCAGATTAACTATATAAAAATGTATATAGTTAGCTATAAAAGTGTCAGAATATTGATACTAAAATGTGAGATTGTGCAGAGGTAGTTTATTTAATGATGTTCATAAACCTTCTGACGTGTTACATAGTTATTAAATTCAAGAAAACGTATTGTGAGGCTAATTTTCAAATTGGGATTCATTTTTTGGTCTTCACCCATCCGACTATCAAAAACAGGTTAACATGGGCTAAAAGCAAAATTATATTCTTTGTTATTCTTACTTTTGATTGTCTGCCGAATAATACTTCTGAGCTTTGTAGATACAGACACTCACTGTTCTAACCTGGGTGTTTTGGTTCTATGTTTGTGAGGATTTGGCAACATTTATCCTTTCCATCGATCTACTATGTAAAATGGACTTGCAGATCAAAAATCTGATCTTGTTAGAATTTTAAGTTTGCACAGTGGCCCAATGAATTTTCTTGAAGAACTTTGAGCTGCTTTAGGCATTTTTATGTACCATAAGATCTGCAGGCAGTCTTTAGAATTCTTTTTGCAAGGTTTTCCTGTCTTGTGTGTTGGGTTGCTGGTTTTTGTTTTGTTTGTTTGGGAAGGTTTTTTTTCTAAGACTTCCCATTTTGCCCCTTTATTTTCTTTCCCAACATCACCTCCAATGACCCCAGATCTGCACTGATCCTCCATTTGTCTGACAAGGACTGGAGTAACCTTCCAGAGCCAATCTACGCATATCTGAGTGTCATCCAGAAGTAATTGCTTAGCAGAGGCACAAAACCTCTTCACCTACTGGGTTAAGCATGCTGCCTCCATTCCATTCCCAACATCTGTTGACCTATGATCAAGGGGCCAATTTCTGGATCCAAATTTGAATTCCTCATGGGGCCTGCATTTTGCACTGTCACATCACCACCAGTCTAGACTGATGCTTGGTGTATTCTAATAATTTTGTTACATGGTGCCAATTCCAAGCTAATATTTCACAGTATAAGAGGGAAGAGGCATTCTAGAAATACTGATTAAAACATTTTCATAATTTCTTTTCATTAAAAAAGCTTGATTTGTTTTTGATAAAGAATCTGTCTGATTTGTCTGTTGCATATAGTAAAATATTTATAAAGAATGTACGAGCTCCTGTTCTCATTTCAAATGGTTGCTTACATTGGCACTTTCTTCTAGTATCTTAAAGCTTTGAACGTACTGGAGGGAGGTGGAAGAGAGACCTTTCATATTAATGGCATCTTCATGTGTTGGGCAGTTACTGGAATAAATACAAATAAATATTGAGTTATTAATTTTCTAATCAATATAGAAAATTGGCATTTTAAAGCTACACAGAGGCTGAAGTAGATACCAGCAGCCAAAGAGTTTGAAAATGAATCACTTATAAGCATCATGATTCAAGAATTTGTTGCTAATGGGGCATTGGCAAATTAAAGGACACTGAAGTAATTTTTTCCTCTTGATCGTAATGCTTTCTTAGAAACTTGAGTTTATTTCTTTTCAAAGTCACACCACCACACACGTTGTTCAAGGACTTCTTTTGTTTAACTGCTTCAGTTTAAATATTGTCTGCTGGATTTATACAGTGGGCTGAGAGAATAAACTCTAGCATTATTTAGTTTAGAATAAATGTTAAAGGGGGCTTGTCACAGGGTGGCTGGCCCCTTCAAGTGCAGCAGGTCCAGTTCCCATGATGAGTAGGCGGGGCTTAATGAGGGGCCGGGCAACACCTGCATTAAAAGATAAGAAAATAGCTGCACCCAGGTCCCTAAAAAAGGGAGGAAGATACAAAACAGCCATCCCAGAAGCAGGCTGGAAGAGGAGACTGGGGGAAGGCACTGAATAGAGCTGCAGGAGGGAAGTTGGCTCCTGTAGTGATTACCAGGACGGGTCAAAAAGAGAATAGTTGGGAAGCTGCTTGAAACCACTTGGAAAGAAAGTCGGCCCGGAGAGGGCAGGTAGGGAATATGAAAACACTGTGATTACATCTGGCTGGAAAGAGATCATTTTGGTTGACTGCTTCATTTATGAAGGAACTCGGAGCCCATGCCAAGGAAACAGGAGTAGAATGCCTGAAGAACCAAGCACAGAAAAGAGATTGACCAAGGACTTTAAGTTGGGACACTACGGTTTGTTTTAAGGCTGTGGGCAGAGTTATTTGGACCATTAATAAATAAACCTACAGCAGGGGGTGCTTTCTAATTTAAAAAGGTGGCGGTGGCGTAATTGCTGAGACTCTTGAGGACAGGGTGTAGTCATGGCTGTGGCCTGTTGGGTTATACTTGGCCAGCAGAACAAGCTTGAAAACTCTGGGATAGGGCATAAGTAGGGTATTGACATTTGGAAGGGTCTAGTGGAACAAGATAACTGCTTTCTTTTTATGCTGTTCTGGAATGTTAAAAAGAGGGATCCCTCCAAATCACAGAAGTAATGAAGGAAAATATTTCTTCACATAGCCAATATGTGGAATTCAGTGCTGCAGGGACTTGTATGGCTTCCATCTCCCTCGTATGCAATTGCCTTATAATCTTTAATGTATTTATCCCTTCAACACCCCTGAGAGGTAGGGAATTTCCATTTTATAGATGGGGAACTGAGGCACAGATCGGCTAAGTGACATGCAAGGTCACACAGGAAGTCTAGGGCAGTGTGACGGGGTGTGCATACCTCACACTAGGCAAGAAAGGGTTAACCCAACTGTGACGGGTTGGATCACAGAAACCCTCTTGGGAGCTGCCACCCGATGTGCCAAGACTACTTCTACCCCTGCTTTCCCTGCCAGCTCAGGACCCCAGCACCCTGTCTTGCTGAGCCAGACAGTCCCGTTTTCTCTAACAAAGACTCAGGGTCTGAATTTCCTGCCCCAAAGCTGCAGGTTTACCTGAAAGCAGCTAACAGAAGTGTTCCTGTAGATGCCCAAATCCGTTTTACCTTGTATAAAGATTTTACAGGGTAAACTCATAAATTGTTCGCCCTCTATAACACTGATAGAGAGATATGCACAGTTGTTTGCTCCCCCAGGTATTAATACACACTCTGAGTTAATTAATAAGTAAAAAGTGGTTTTATTAAATACAGAAAGTAGGATTTAAGTGGTTCCAAGTAGTAACAGACAGAACAAAGTAAGTCACCAAGCAAAATAAAATAAAACGCGCAAATCTATGTCTAATCAAACTGAATACAGATAAGATCCTCACCAGTTCCAGAATGCTCCCTTTTACAGACTAATCTCCTTTTAGCCTGGGTCCAGCAATCACTCTCACCCCTTGCAGTCACTTTCCTTTATTCCAGTTTCTTCCAAGTATCCTGGGGAGTGGAGAGACTCTCTCTTTAGCCAGCTGAAGACAAAATGGAGGGGTCTCCCAGGGGTTTAAATAGACTTTGTCTTCTGGGTGGAGACCCCCTCCTAACTCCTATGCAAAGTCTAGCTCCAAGATGGAGTTTAGGAGTCACCTGGGCAAGTCACATGTCCATGCATGACTTACAGTTTTTACAGGTAGCATCCATTGTTTACATGCTACCTTGAAAGTCCTCAAGTAGACTTATGTGGATTGGAGCATTCCATGATCCATTGTCCTTTAAGTGTTTCTTGATTAGGTACTTAATTTCAACATTCCTTTCTCCAGGAACTGACCAAATGCTCTACTAAGGTTATTTAGAAATCAAGCCAGTACACAGCCAACATTCATAACTTCGAATACAAAAATGATACATGCATACAAATAAGATTAATGCAGTCAGTAGATCATAACCTTTACGGAGATATGTTACATGGCATATGTAGCATAAAACACATTCTAAGCATATTTCCATATACTGCTGCCTCAGTATAAAAGGGAACAGCCCAGCTCATTCTAGGCTGACCACCAAGGCGGAAGGACATTTGGTGGAGGCTCCTGCCCAGGAGCCACTTCAGATCTTGACTGCTGGAACCAGAAATCCTGAGGACCCGACCAGAGACCTATTGCCTGAGTCAGAATCCCAGGGAGCTATCTATACTGAGGAGCTTGGAGGCCCCAACAAGGTACGGACCCCAGCGTCAGGAGACACAGTAGGAAGTGGCCCAGGGAGGCGGTGTGAGTGGTATCTCCCACCTGAGGAAGGTCAGTGTGTTGCTGTAGGATCCCTGCTGACAGGGTGGTGACCATACTTGCCACTGACAGGCCCCTGGGCCGGGACCCAGTGGAGCAGGGAGGGCCTGGGTCCCCGTACCCCAGCCATCAGCCTTCCCCTTCCCCCCTGTGTGGCAGACCCTGACTCTGGCTATTAGG